ATAGTTTCTCAACGCCAATATTTGAAAAGTTTATATGAACATTGTACTGACCTTTTAATTTCGCCGGCAGTAAACTATAACTTAAATTCGGGCACGGACTCTACTGTAAAGTCCTCATAAAACATTTCCTTTACTTTCACTGTGAAAAACTGTTAGTTTTCCAAATATATTTCGATTTATAACCTATATAATTGTGTTGATAAAATCTAAAAATGTGACATTTGACATTTTCCCCTGTTGTTTCATAGAAAAACATTTTTGAAAAGCCATTAATTGATAGGGAAGTCTAAAATATCATCTTCATATATTTCACGAATGTTTTCCGCCATTTGGTATACTTCTCATCTTCTTATCAGTAGAATTTAACAGTTTCCAAAATACTGAAGTTAGTGGCTATTTAAATAAACAGCCATACCCCTGGAGAGGATTGTAGTCCGCAGCGCTAACTACTACACCACTGAGGGCGGTACTAAAAGTATCTTCAGCAGTTTAAAAAGCCAAGTCATTTGCAACTTCATCAAAAAAACGTTTGCGAATACGTTTTTGGCAAAGTTCTGGAATTATACCCCATTTACTTGATGTAATATCGGCCTCTTTTTTATATCTAAAAATTCATTCCGAAGTTTGCTTATGTCAATTAACAAATTTTTTAAAAGTTTACTAGATTTTTGGATATCTTGCTACTGATTTTGTCGATTTAAAATGTTAGATTGTAAAATAATCAAAAACACTGTTTCAAAGTCCTCTAATGTACTTTAAAATCCTTTCGATTCGTCTATTTCAGCCTTATTTTATTGGTTGTTACAAGGCCTTAAGAACATGAAGATACCTAAAACGTAGGGCTTTATTGCATCATTGTGTGAAGACCAACGGGTTGTTGATAGTTTTTTAAGTTTTAATTTTCACTTGCTTTTACATGATTCAAGCAAAAATTATTATTATTATTAATATTGGTGGTCTTTTACTATTTACTAAGCCTTAAGCCATTATTATAAATAAATGCCCTGTAAATGTTGAAATATATTTAAAAAAAATTAATCCAAATATTTGAAAAAAAAAATTGTTATTCCAATCGCTGGCCGCGGGCCCCTTGAGCTTGCGGGCCTGGTTCCACCGAACCCACGGAACCATTGTAGCTACGGCACTGTCTATAAGGTATGTAGGAAATATGTTTTAAAACAGGTAATAATATTTTTCTACTCCCACCTTTAAAACGCCCTTTATCGTACATGTTTCCATGACACTAAGTGACCTTTTAAATACACATTCACAAGTTGTGGCTTTACGGCGCTTTAGTCATGGGCTGAAGTTAGCAACAGGTTTTAGTCACGGGCTGAAGTTAGTTTTAAGTTAGTTGACAGTTGTCAAATGTCATACAATCGTTAAAATAAAGTGCCTTTCTTGTAAAATAATACTAAATGTGAAAATTATTTTATTATCTCAATACAAAAATACAAAAATATTAAATAGTTTCTCAACGCCAATATTTCAAAAGTTTATATGAACATTGTACTGACCTTTTTATTTCGCCGGCAGTAAACTATACTGCCGTGCTTAATGAAAACGCCGTAACCAACAATTTTGCGATTTTTGTTTTACGGCATTTTCTACTAGAACAATTTATCCTGCGTCTATCCCCGGTACTCAAAACACCGTATCTATATATATACGGTTTTTTGAGTACCGGGGATAGACGCAGGATGAATTGTTCTAGTAGAAAATGCCGTAAAAAAAAATCGCAAAATTGTTGGTTACGGCGTTTTCATTAAGCACGGCAGTATAACTTAAATTCGGGCACGGACTCTACTGTAAAGTCCTCATAAAACATTTCCTTTACTTTCACTGAAAAACTGTCAATTTTCAACATCTCGATTTATAACCTTTATAATTGTGTTTATAAAATGTAAACATGTGACATTTGACAGTTTCCTCTGTTGTTTCATAGATGGGGCTCTATACAAATTTTTGATTTAAATCATTTTAAGATAATAATAAGTATTCTTCGTAGAAAAAGTATAGTATGCACCTCGTTTATAAACTTTTCTATACACTCATTAATTTAAGAACTCGCTCGCAAGCTCGCTCGTGCCTAAATTAAATTCGTGTATAAAATGGCGTTTATCAAACTTGATACATAATATACTATTTTCTACTCCCACCTTTAAAACGCTCATTATCGTACATGTGACACTAAGTGACCTTTTAAATACACAATTGTTGTGGCTTTATGGCCTTTTAGTCACGTGCTGAAGTTAGTTTGAAGTTAGTTGACAGTATTGTAAAATAATACTAAATGTGAAAATTATTTTATTATCTCAATACAAAAATACAAAAGTATTAAATAGTTTCTCAACGCCAATATTTGAAAAGTTTATATGAACATTGTACTAACAATTTAATTTCACCCGCAGTAAACTAGATTTAACTTAATTTCAGGTGGAGAGAAGTGCCCATAAAATATTTTCTTCACTTTAACTGTGAAAAACAGTTCGTAGTCCATTTTCAAGGGATACATTTCCATTTACACATAAAAAAAATTTACAAAATTTGACATTTCCCTTTCTTACGGTTAGGTACTCTATTTTTGTATAGATGTCACTCTATACAAATATTTAATTTAAATAATTTTTAAATAATAAGTATTTATCTTAAGTATAGTATGCAACTCGTTTATAAACTTTTCTAGACACTCATTTAATTAAGCACTCGCTCGCAAGCTCGCTCGTGCCTAAATTAAATTCGTGAGGGTATTACTACAATTAACAGACGATTCTTTAGGTGATTTTAAGACAAAAAGTTCAAATAAACATGGATCCTCAATTTCTTCGCTTTTAAGATACAGAGTGTGAAACTTTGATAAACCTGACAAAAAATGTACGCCATTGACTTTTTTGTAATTTTTATATATTTTTTCGGATTAAGCAACTAAAATTAGAACTTTTTCTCTTTTAAATTTTTTTCGTATACGAAATATATTTGCTTTTTCTCTCTTAAATTTTTTTCGTATAGGTACGAAATATATTTTCTTAATTTTCTAGAAAAAAAATCCACTTAAATGCATATCTTGTGTGGTCCAGGAATATGCAATTTCTTCGCAAACAAAATTCATCAATTCATTTTTAGCTGCTTAATCCGAAAAAATATAAAAAAAACAAAAATTCAGTGGCGTACATTTTTTGTCAAAAATATTTGTTAAAGTGCCGCTCCGGATGATACTGCACTTAATAAATTTAATCAAGTTAGAGCTAAATTAGTCCCTTAAAAGTACAAATAACACTGCCAAATTGCAACAAAATTGGGTAAAGGATATTTAAGATATTTACTAAAAATAAAATACAATACAATAAAAAAAACCACGCTGTATCTTGAAACAAGTTTTGCGGACCATGTTTATATGAACTTTTTGTCTTAAAATCACTAAAAGAACTCTCTGTTAAATTTATTGCACATACTTTTGTAACACCCTATACCTAGGTATATTAAAATCAAATTTTATTTAGACAAATATATTTAGAGATTGTGTAAAATATGTAAACGCATTAAAAATAAATCCTTTTATTTTTTCTATTGAAATATAGTTGTTAAGCCTTTCTTAACACAGGTAAAAAGTTATTAAATTATTTCCATATAACGGTGCTTTTTGACTATTTAAAAATGTAATAAAATATAGTTCATTATATTTAATAAGTCGTACTAAAGACAGTACAAATAATTTTTTTTTGTAATAAAAATGTTATTGAATTATTCCCGCAAACGGTAATTTTTGACTATAGTCAACAGTGTAGAGCCAAAAATGTTGAAAGCGCTTTTTATTGTTTATAACTTTTTCATTTATATTTAAAGAATTTATTTAAGAAGTTTAACCACCAGGATAGGAAATTACCGTAATTACCTATTTTGACAAGCGCGCTTGTTTTTAGTGCCATTTTGTCAATTTTTATTTGGTTGCATTGAAATTTTATCCCGAAGTATTTATTTATATCTACATTAGGGTGGCCCAAAAAAAAAAGAATATTTTTTTTCTCGTCTCTTGTGAAAATATGTTGGTTTGTCATGTTTTAAGAGCCCTGTCAAAAGATCAGCCCCATTAAAAATTTTTTAGGGGTCGCTCAAGATTTTTAAAAATTTCCAAAATCGTCAAAAATTGGATTTTTTTTTATTTTAATTTTTTTTCTCGTTCCGATATTATTTTTTAATTTGAAAATGATAATGATTCTGAAAATTTTAAATCGATATTTTGATTTCTAAAGGTCGCTCAAGATTTTTTTAACTTTCAAACTAGAGTATTTTGAATGTTTTCGAGCGACCTCTGAAAATAAATATTAACGAACTTTTAGCGACCTTTAGAAATCAAAATATTGATTTGAAATTTACAGAATTTTTATTATTTTCAACCTAAAAAATAATATTGGGACGAGAAAAAAATTTAAATAAAACAAAAATTCAATTTTTGACGATTTTGAAAATTTTTAAAAATCTTGAGCGACCCCTAAACATTTTTTAATCGAGCTGATATTTTGACAGGGCTCTTACAGCATGATAAACTAACATAATTTTACAAGAGACGAGAAAAAAAATATATTCTTTTTTTTTTGGGCCACCCTAATCTACATATTTAGTATATTTCATTAAAATTAAAAAATAATTGTTCGTGTAACGATTATTTTTTATTAAGAAATAAGTAGATTTTTAATTTTTTTTTTACAAAAATTCAAGTCAAAAATAAAAATTCAGGATTGAATATAAAAAAATCAAAATACCTTTTATTGTCTTTTTTATTTGTTATAGTTTTTCTATTTACTCATTTTGTATAAATTTTGGTCCTAGGTATATGTGGGAGGAATCAAACTCCCAAAATCGAAATACCAGATTTGCTTAGGTACATCTTCACTGATGCAAATCTAGTAAATATTTCATCAATACAACCGTATGTAGTTTGAATCTGTGTGTTCATAAATTACGATATGTAACAACTTGACTCTAAGCCTGCCTATCTAACAATTTAGTCTTTTATGGACTTCTGAGAGAGCCAGATGGTCTAGAGCTTTTATTAAGACTAGCCGATAAAGTGACCGCATGCATCATACACTTTATTAAACGATTAAATGTAATCAAGAATCGATGTTTTTGAGTTTAAATTTAACTGAATGTTTAGTGTGTAAATACTTAAATTACAATGATGGCAATTAGTTTCAGCAGGTAAGCTCATGTTTATTATTTAATAGTTCATTAAATGAACATGTTAATTCCGCTAATTACGGACACATGGTGGTTTAATTAATTGATTGCATTTTAATTGAAATAAATCATAATTTATTCAAAGCTTTATGTTAAATTTATAGGTTTTTCTATTTTTTTTTTAAATAACTGGGATAAAAAATATTTTCAGGAAAAAGTCCCACTTATTTTGGCCATAATAATGCTTGTGGGTAAAAATCAAAGAGGTCCAGCCAGAAAAATAGTAAAAATAGCAAATTTATCCTTTTTTTCTAATACATAATTGTTGAAATTTATTTTTAAAATTTTATCAGTAATAATTTTAATACAGATGTTTCTTCCCATTTCAGAAAAAAATTAAAAGTTATTATCATTATATTTCATTAAGTATTAATAATATCAAAAATCGCCCTCTAAATTATTTATTTACCCCATACTTGTTATTCAAAATAAAATAATTTATTGTTGATTATATTTAGAATCTATACATTTGGTATTTTAATTGTAAACATAAATATTTCATTAACCTAAGATAAAATAAATATATAATTAAAAAAATAAAAAATGAAAATTAAAAATACCCAACCCATTATTTTTCTGTTAAAAAATATTTTTAACCTTACCTATTTGTTTTGCAAATTTTGCACATTTTTTGCGTTTAGGTATATGTTTGCAAATTTGGCGAATGCGCCGGGATATTAGAAAATAAAATGTTTATTTTTGGGTGATCTAAGGGGTTTTCACTGCATGAAGAAGTTTTGATGAATGACGGTGCATTTTGTCTCACATTTTGTTATAGGTGTAAAGGTCCAATTTCATGGTGCTTTACAACGCAATAAATTTTAAGTATAAAAGATGCAATTTTTTTTGCAAGTATATATTTTGTTAAAGCATTTAAGCAAAGATAATATCTTGGCATTTAAGTTTTAAAAAAATTGGCAACAATGTGTATTGCATAAGCCGAAATATCACATATATTTCTATAAACGGCTGTTATGGAAAACCAATAAAGAAGGCAACTATACTGCCCTACTATGGAGAAAGGCAGTAACTGCAAAAAAATGCAAAATGCGTTTTCTTGTGCTATGGTAAAGCTATGGACATTTTGTAACCGAATTCAATACAGAAATGCAGTCAAATATCTCATAAGTTTAATCAATCAAATACCTACTGCTTTTTATAAAAATGTATGCTAATTTTCCACAAATTTCTTGTTTAGCAGTTACTGCCTTTCTCTATAGTAGGGCAGTATAGATGCCTTCTTTATTGGTTTATCTGAAGATGTATGTTCTGACAGATTGTGTCAAAAAGTTTAATTTTTATATTATATTATAGTAACTTTGTTACTATTGACAAAAATTCTTTTTATTTCAAGTAGCCTTGAAACAAAATAAAATTCAACTTGCCAAAAAAATTATTTTATACTTAAAATAATATCGCGTGGTATGTTAGTGGCGTACAAAATATAATATTTTATCCTTAATTGGCATATTTTTTCTTAAATTAAAAATATTTTAAAATGTCGTAAAATTTTAGTAAGAAAAATACACAATAATAATTACAAAAATTTGTTTTGTCAAGTTATCCATGAAAAAAACATTGAAATAAAATTAAACTAATAGTAACATGGTACTATTACTAAAAGTTTAATTTTATTTAAATGTTTTTTTCATGGATAACTTGACAGAATAACTTTTTGTTGTTATTTTTGTGCATTTTTTAATACAATTTAGTAAAGGATCGTTTTAAGGGGTGGTGAATCCAGTGCCGTGGTTAGATTTTGTTTGAAAAAATCGCTAATATAAATTCTTAAAAATTTACTCTTAAAAACTGACATAGTAGGCCTTGTATTTTATAAAAATATGGCGTTTTATGTTTTAAAGATACAGTTTATCAAGATCTACACTTTAAAACAAATCCGGTTAAAATCGCACAATAAATAAAGATTTTACAGGGGTGAGTCGCAAACAAATGGGTCACACTGTATAAAGGTACAATTTTATTGCTGAACGTATAATAATGTAATAATGTTAATAGTTTGTTCAATATTTTTTAAGTCCCTTTATTTTCTTTAAAATAGGCAAAATTTAAGCAAAAATCCATTTTAAATCTATTTTAACCCAATTTTTGCTTCCAAAATCATTTTCCAAACATTTAATGCGCGGTCTTTCGTCAAAACTTTAGTAAAGTCGTTCCCTACGTTTGGTAAAATTTGCAAATTTTTAATTTTACAAAGCGTAGGGAACGATTTTCCAAAAGTTTTGACGAAAGAAACTTAAATTTGATTAGATGAGTGTCTAAAAAAGTTTATAAACGAGTTGCATACTGTACTTTTCCTACGACAAATACTTATTATCAGTTCTCGATTTCTAAAAATTGAGATGCCGGAACTGTAACCTCTCATAGGATTTCGTTATAGGTACAATTTTTTTATTTTATTTAGTTCCAAATTATATTTTGCAAAACAAGTTGGTACAAAAATGTGTTGTAGTAAAGTAATTAAAGCAGTAAAATATCACAGTTTGATGATTGTTTAAGTTAACTTTCGTAATATTAACGCCGTTACGGTGCGTTCCGCCTTAAATTGAGCCCTCCTTCTTATTATTTAAATATGATTTAAATTAAATATTTGTATAGGGCGACATCTATAAAACAATAGAATAACTCGCGTAAGAATTTTTAATTTGGGAATTTGTATTCGACAGTCAAAATTTTAAATTTGTATGTGTCGAAAATGGAAATTTAAAATGGACTAACAACTGTTAAAATCTGATATAGAAGCAGTTTTTCACAGTGAAAGTGAAAAGAATGTTTTATGGGCACTTCACGATGGAGTCCAATCCAATCCAATTTTTAATGCTTTCAGTTAAATCTAGTTTACTGCTGGCAAAGTCAATAGGTCAGTACAAACTTGCATATAAACTTTTCAAATAGGAATTGGCGTTGAGAAACTATTTAATAGTTTTTATTTTTGTATTAAGATAAAAAAATAATTTCCACATTATTATTTCACAAGAAGGAACTTTATTTTAACGATTGTATGACATTTGACAACTGTCAACTAACAATAGAAAAGTAACACTTTTTTGTTAAATAAACATGTATCAAAAAATGCCCCCTAACGGAGCTACGGCCCCCTGAATAGGAGCCTAAGAGAATAGTTTTTTTTAAACTGTTCCTAGAGCGTTAAACATGAAGAAATGAAATTTTGGCACTTTGGTAATTTTTAGAAGCTGAATGAAGATCTATATTTAAAACTGTTAAAATTTAATCATAGGCGTAACATTTGGGGGGGAAAGTTATAAAAATAGCTTTTTTCCGAGATAATATTTTAATTTTTTTAATGAAATTATGAAAACTTATAGTTTTTTACGAAAAATAGGTAGTCTTGATTTGAATCGCTCAGATGCACCAGTTTCGAGAAAAATACATTTATAAATTACTCTGCATAGCATACACATCTCATATTTTCGTTAAAATTTTGTGTTAAAATTTGGAGAATCGCTCCATAATAAAAAAATAAGAAAAATTGAGCCAAAAAATATTAATTAAACTATAAAAATAAATGTAAAGTCAGCAAATAACCCAAACGTCACTTTTGTCCCAAAGCTTTTTAATGAAAATATTAGAAATTATGCTAAGCATAGTAATTTAAATTGCGATTTTCTCGAAAATGGTGAATCTGAGCGATTCAAAGCAAGAGTACCTATTTTTCGTGAAAAACTATACATTTTCATAATTTTACATTATTTTACATTAAAATACTCACTCTGCAAAAAGTTGGGGCTGTTTTTGTAAATTTGCCCCCTCAAATGTTACGCCTATGATTAAATTTTAACAGTTTTGATTAAAGATCCAGATTCAGAATGTGAAAATTACCAAAGTCCCAAAAATTCAGGCCTTCCTGTCCAACCCTCTAGGAATAGTTTTAAAAAAATGATGCTCTTAAGCTCCTATTTAGGGGGGCGTAGCTCCGTTAGGGGGCATTTTTTGATATATGTTTATTAAACAAAAAAGTGTTATTTTTCTATAAAGAATGCAATGTTTTGGCCCCCTAATTTCGGGATCCAGATTCAGAATGTGAAAATTACCAAAGTCCCAAAAATTCAGGCCTTCCTGTCCAACCCTCTAGGAATAGTTTAAAAAAAATGATGCTCTTAAGCTCCTATTTAGGGGGGCGTAGCTCCGTTAGGGGGCATTTTTTGATATATGTTTATTAAACAAAAAAGTGTTATTTTTCTATAAAGAATGCAATGTTTTGGCCCCCTAATTTCGGGACACCCTGTATAGATGAGTTTTTATCAAGATTGCTTCTTTAAAATACAAAATTTGTTTTCAAGATCAACATACCTAACAACTGGCAGTAAATCAAAAACCCAATTAAAAAAATGTGTTATAATAATCATTTAATTAGCATTGAATTTAATTTAGCATCCAATTAATCTGCTAACGTAATCTTCCAAACACTTGCTGATTTAATATTCAAAATCAAACTTGGTATGTAACCCAATTTCGATTTTATATTGGCAACTATGACCTATATTCTTAATTTCGACATATTTGTCCATCCTAATTAGACTTTATTTGACACTAATTGAATGCTATGTTTAAGTTTATTCAATGTAGATTTTGTTTCTTTCCTAATTTAATAATTATTCATTATATATAATCGAATGATTACTTGATAAACATTTTTAAATTTGTTTAGGTAGTTGTTAGGCCTATGACATTTAACACCCGGGTGTTCAAAATTGGCCAGTCCTTGAAATATATTATTTAAATAAATATAAATAAATGTATAAACAATTCAGGATAAACTTATTACAAGTCAATAAGTATAACCAGCCATATAAATCTTACTATAGATATTTAATTTAATGATTAGAAACTAATAAATCCAAGTCAAAAATATATAGTATAAAATATAAACACTTATTAGATTAAAATTATCACTCGTACTTTATTTTACGAATCTAGTTTTGATAAAACTCAATAAAACAGAATTTAGGTAAAAATGTAGGAGTCTTACTTTATGTATACACGCATATAAATAGGAATCAGCTGTGGGAGTTAAATAGAGGTAATAAATAAGAATAATACACAATAGGTTCTTGCCTAAAATGACCAAAATTGTGTTTTTTTCTTCGTTGATATTTTATACTGTTGACTATTAAGTAATGCCTACATACAAATATGTTTTTTATTTGTTATATTATGAAATGTTATGTTTAATCTATACTGAAGACAGCACGCAATATTATTTAATTTAAAAAATATTAATTGTAATTACTACTTAAAAGGTACAATGTATTAAACATAATTACTAAAACATTACGAAAAAAAATCCTAAAATTTTATACATACATAATGCATGGCGAAAATAATAATGGTATATAGATTTTTTACTCAATACTATCTAAGTTACTTAAAATGTTATGGCTTAAAGCCAATAAATAATTAATAACTCACAATTTTTATTTAAAAAAAATTAAAGACACAATAGTTTTATAAAACAGGTAACCGCAAACTTTATAAAACTCCTTTATAAACCTACCTGTAACGGTTACTAAAGGTTACATAAAATATTTGTAGAAACAATTATATAACCTAATATTATATAACTAGAGTTTACAGTAACCTTATATGAACATTATAAAACTAGTAAACTAAATTGCGATTATATAAAACCTTGTTAAACTCTTATACAGGGTGGTCCAGTTTGAGATGCATTAATTTTAGGAGGTGATAGAGAATCAAAAATGAAGGGGACTTTCCTAATAAAATATTTTTCAAAAGTGCCTAATAAGGAAGCTATAGCTCTTCAAAGTGGGAAATAAATAATAGTTTTTTTAGCATAACTTTTGAACCGTTTAAACGATTTGGTTTAAATTTTAACCAAAGTTTGATAAAATAAGTCTTGTTCGACCAGTGATAACGCTTTTTATCAAAATAATTCAGGGGCGTAGATGATGGGGGAAGCTCCCCTTTTTCCCTCCCCATTTTTCAAATCCTTGCTATTTTTATAAATTGTTTATATTTTTGAATTCAAAATTAAATTTGAACAAAAAAGTTACCCCTGGAAAACTGTGACTGAAGAATTTGTTTTTGAGATATTCGTGTTTTAATTTTATCGAAAATGCACAATTCATGTTTTCAAAGTATTTTTTTAACATATCTAAATTTCGTTATTTATTTGATGCAAACAAAAATAGCAGGTTTTAAAAGGCACTCCTTACTCTTTCGGATTTTAATAGATTTTTGACATTTCGCAGGGATAACTTTGAGTAGGTAGATAATTTATTTTTCTTTCGTAAGTATCGTTTTTAAAATACTTCTCGGAATCAATTAAGATTTTTAAAGGTTTGTTTCATATTTTCAAATTCGGCTTAAAATTTTGGAAAAAGTTTTGAGGAAAAGTGATCAAATAGCCTTACGTCAAGCCTCGAAATGTTCCACTAAATGTCATTTAGGCATATTTGGTAAACTTATTTTCTGTTTGTCCGATTGATTTTGTCAAATATCTTTACGAAGAATGCCAAATTTCTTCAGCATTGCCGAGTCTGCAGACATACATTTTGTTTATGGATTCTGCAATGGAAATGCCGCAGCGGCCGTTAGAGAATATCGCAGAAGAAAAATATATTTGACTACCTACATATTTCAAATTGCTTTACATGGCATGCAATGGGCAAAAATATTACATTTCAAAAACATGAATTCTACATTTTCGACATGTTTTAAAAACTTCAAACTCGAATATCTCGAAAACAAAGTCTTTAGTCACAATTTTCCAGGGGTAACTTTTTTGTTCAAATTTAATATTGAATTCAAAAATATAAACAATTTATAAAAATAGCAAGGGGTTGAAAAATGGGGAGGGAAAAAGGGGAGCTTCCCCCCATCATCTACGCCCCTGAATTATTTTGATAAAACGCGTTATCACTGGTCGAACAAGACTTATTTTATCAAACTTTGCTTAAAATTTAAACCAAATCGTTTAAACATTTCAAAAGTTATGCTAAAAAAACGATTATTTATTTCCCACTTTGAAGGGCTATAGCTTCCTTATTAGGCACTTTTGAAAAATATTTTATTAGAAAAGTCCCCTTCATTTTTGATTCTCTATCACCTCCTAAAATTAATGTATCTCAAACTGGACCACCCTGTATAATTTGACCACTCTTATATAACCTTTATATAATTTATCGTTACCATAAGTAGTACAAATTGTTTATTGTCTGAAGGCTGTCCTTTTTAATATGTATATATGTGGATATCCAGTGAATATCATGATATTGACAGCTATAAGTATTCTTGATATAGACAATGTTAATCCAATGATATCCAATGGTTGGATATCTCCCGGATTTCTAATGGTTATTAGGTGGTCTGGGGAACTCCCCCTATATACTATACATAAAAACATAATATATTATGATTAAAATTGAACATTCTTTTATTTTTAGATGGATTTGTTACATCTGCATTATTTTAAATGTAGAATTATTTAGGAATATTAAAGCACGTAAGTAGAGTTCTTCAACTATTTAATTTATGTAGGTATGTAAATAACGCATAGAAATACAAAAGTGCTCTTTAGTAATACTTAATGATTACCTTTTACCTCTAAAAACAATACTATTATTTTCTAGAATTAAGCATTATAGAAGAACCAAGTGGGCCTTGCTCGAATTACAGAATAGGCGACGATGATTTAGAAGCCTACGACTTCATAAGAAAATTTAGACTGGACTTGCTGGAAACGCAATACCCTGGCGTCTCCAGAGTTAGAGGCTCAAACAGAATGCAAACGGCCTACAGGCTCGATAATGAAGCTGACTTAACTCTCCCAACGAGGTAAATCACAAAAATAAAAATTAAAAAAGCGAAAAAAAGTATCGCCCAACGTGGGGCTCGAACCCACGACCCTGAGATTAAGAGTCTCATGCTCTACCGACTGAGCTAGCCGGGCTTATGAATAATTTGTTCTTAAACATGTTTATGGTTATAACATTTACGTTTTCACAAGGTGATCTCGTTTTTTACGTTTATTTTTAGAGATATTTTCCCGCTTGGTTTGCCGCAACAATTTTCGTTCATCTGCACATTCCGCACTAGAAGAATACCGAAAAATACATGGCATATTATAAGAGTTACTGATTCGGAAGCCAAGCCGCAATTTTTGATTTCACTTAACCCTGTTAATCAAACCATCGAATTTGCTCTTTCGAATTATGAAGGGAGAATGCAGACACTTGAATTTTATAATACTAAAGTGAGTGCATGCGTGTAAATAAACACCATATTTTAAGATAGCAACGAGGTCCTGTGGCGCAACGGATAACGCGTCTGACTACGGATCAGAAGATTCCAGGTTCGAATCCTGGCAGGATCGCAAATTTTTTTTATTTTTATTTCCCCTTATTTTTTTAATTTTGTAGGTTTTTGATAAAAATTGGCACAAAATTCATTTTGGTGTGTTCAGGGATAGGGTTATCTTATACGTTGATTGCGAAGAACGCGTAGAAAGGGCCTTAGATCCCAGAGGATCACTTGATATTAATGGACAAATTTCAGTTTCCAAACTGGCTAATTCCAGAGAAACTGTTCCTGTAAGTTAAAACTTTTTAAATATAAAAATAAAACACATCAATTTAAAACAGGTTGTTATTTTTTGAGAGAAATGTTTTAGTTTTACTAATTACAATTATTGTTTCTTTAGCGCTCCTTTCCGGTAAGTAGGTATTATTTAACATATTTTATATAGACCTGGGCTGCATTTAAGTTAAACAATTGTTTTATATTGAAGTAATATTTTCATCCTAATACGTACAGCAAAAAATATAAATTTCAATATAAAACATTATTAGTTTATAGATTCTATGCCTGAACTGTCTTTTAATCTTTTGTATGTTAGTATTTCTAGATCTCTATAAAAAAGCACTTTTTCCTTTTAATTTACCTACATTACGGTTTTACTATTAATACCAATAAAATTACCTTTTAGATTGATATTCAATGGATGGTGATGAGTTGTGACCCCACAAGACCAGAAAGAGAAACATGCTTGGAAATACCGGTAAGTAGCCAACACAAACACAATTCTAGTACTTAATCTTAAGAGGTCAGCCATTCCACGTTACTCGGGAATTTTTGTAGCGTCCGTTACAATCAAAAATTGTGAGTAAAACTACCGTAATTGAGGAGTGATTTTTCAAAAGGTCGTATTTCCATTTGCAACAATTTTTCAAAAAAATGACTATAACCTGTATAGGTTAGGGCAATATAGATTATTAAAAAAAAAATTCTGATGAATATTTAATAATACTTCAGACCTGCTGTCATATTTCGCCGTTAATATATGCCTTTTAACCATACCTTTGGGATTTTGTCAATAAATTACAATCAAGTAAAAATGGAAATAAGGCCTTTTGAAAAATCACTCCTCAATTATGATGCTTATACGCTTAAGCCTAATCAGTACAAGCATTGTAATAGTATTTAATTAAATTAAGGTAGCTTTTACTCACAATTTTTTATTGTAACGGACGCTACAAAAATTCCCGAGTAGCGTGGAATAGCTGAGGTGTAATTATACCATATTAGTACTATTTACAAACCTAACCAAACTTTTCCCTAAGAAAATTGCGCCAGTGTCCCCACAACCACGACCAATTATTCGACCATCTACACAAAGACCGAGACCCCAAACATGTGACGTTGTTTGCCCGCAGGGTCCACCCGGATTTAACGGCACCGATGTAAGTAAAACTTTATAATTAAAAGTATTATTAAAATAAACATGTTTGACCATGACACACTAGGGATTACCCGGACTACAAGGGGAAACAGGCCTGCAAGGACCAATGGGATTCCCCGGACCAAGAGGAGATATGGGACCAATTGGTGTTCCTGGAGTTCCAGTAAGTGGACAATAAGTAGGATCGCCAGGGTTTAAATAACACATTAATGTTAATGTTATTCAAGCATGCTTGGTAATTTTCATAGGGTGCTCCAGGTTTACCCGGTCCATGTGGCCCTATAGGCCCACGTGGTTCCACAGGGAGAAGGAGAACCTGTGTGTAAATTTATCAAAATTTACCTTTAACTATAGTATAGGTAGAGGGTGATTTTTAAGTTTTATACATTATTTCATTCGGTGATAATTATCAATTGCGTACCATGGTCACTTTTTACCTGCCAGCATTAAATCCTTTAATTTAAAGGACTATTGCACTATTTATAATAAGAATACCTCATTTAAGGTAAAAAAACATTATTTTATCAATTAATTAATTTAATCCTAATTGAGGTATAAAAATGGTATTTAGACTAAATAATTTAGTAATAAATAATAATTATTATTGAGGCATAAAGAAACTATTTATACATAGTTTAGCATTATTTAATCAATTTAGTTCGAAAATTAATTTGCAAACAAAAACACCTCCTTTCATTAAGCAGTTATTTCTAGTGGATTTTTTAACAGTGAAAGAAAAAATAGAAATGATTTTGATTTATGGAAAAGCAGGCAAGAATCTTGATAATGCTGTTAATATCTATAGATATAGCGTATACGCCCAGTGTTTTCCGGAAAAAATTCTATCACGTACTTCATTTCACTGTACAGTCAAGCAGTTTACTAAAAACGGCAGTGTTCAACCGAAAAAAAAGAGTTCGTCGATCAAATATTTAATATTGATATTTTGAGCACCTACCTAAAATTTAATAAATAAATAAATAAATTTAAAAAATAAAAGCAAGTATTTTATTCAAAAATTATTGGAGAATCGTATACAGAAGAAAAATCGAACAAAATTATTTTTTTTATTACAGCGCCATCTATTACAAATATGAAAAAATGTTTTAGACAAAATCTATCTATTTTTAGTCGAATGATCCGAATCTGCAATAAAAAATAGGGTGTTCCATTGGAAATTTTAAAGTTACCCTCTTTTCCCCCTATAAGGCGGAGAGTATGAGTTTTAGTACTGATTGATTTCCTCCCTCGAATCATTTAATTTTTATTTTAAAAATTTTTTTGTAATATGCATACTAACTGAGATATTTCAAAGTTTCAAGTTAAATGACTCACCCTGTATAATATATTAATAATATCAAGTGTGCAGATCTGCGAAATTCGCTAAACAGTAACATTATATATTTTCTGGACACATTGTATATTTATTTTTGAAGCAACATACCTACATATCCACTCTTTGCACTAATAACTTCACCTTATATTTTGATGGGAATAAATTAGTAAACGAAAATTAAAAATAATGAAATTAAATAGGGACTTTCTGGACTAAAAGGCGACCAAGGAGAACCAGGTTTTCCAGGTATTCCTGGACGAGATGGAGATACAGGATTAAGAGGAGATAAGGTAAAATATATTTATTTTTATAATTCTATTCACATTAAATATGGTTAGGGCGATGCTGGTTTATCTGGACAAAAAGGTGAAAGTGGTTTAGACGGAATACCAGGTATTCCAGGCAGAGAAGGACCACCAGGACCTAGGGGACCTCCTGGTGAAGTAGTTTCTCACACTGGAACTACCATTAGCGGACCTCCAGGACCTCAAGGTTCACAGGTGAGATTTTTTCCTTGGATTAAAGAGTAAAATTCATTTCTATTTAATCTGGAATTTAAGGGTCCACCAGGTTTAGATGGCCCAATGGGACCTAGAGGTTTCCCTGGTGAACCAGGTTTGCCAGGTCGTAACGGTGTTGATGGCCTGCCAGGACAAAGAGGGCTTAAAGGTGATAGAGGTGAACTAGGTCTAAGGGGAGAAAGAGGATATCCTGGTGAAACTGTACGAAAATTAGACCAAAAAAACAAATTTAGTAACAAATTTATATTTTAGGGTCCACCAGGTCCTCCAGGTATAGTAAACGGAGCCGCCTCCAGTCCAGGCTTTCCAGGTTTGCCAGGATCAAAGGGAGAGCCAGGGGAACCAGGAAGAGCTGGACCTCCAGGACCTCCTGGTGACTCTGGGGCTAATTTGCAAGTATATGATAGTGGGTATTCTGCTGGAATACATGGACCAAGAGGATTTCCAGGAAGTCCAGGAATTGTAAATATGTTATTTTTTATTTTGCAAAACCTTGTTAATCAACAATTTTAGCCTGGAGAAAGAGGAGCTTTTGGCGATAGGGGTCCAGAAGGACAACCGGGATCACCTGGAATGCCTGGAAAGGAAGGACCTCAAGGATTACCTGGACCACCTGGTTCGAGGGGACAACCTGGATTCCCGGGAACGCAAGGGGCTCCTGTAAAATTTATATCTTTTTTAAATTTGTACATATTTTTGACGTTTTATTTTTAGGGAAGATCCTATACCGATTCCGAAATTCGCGATATTTGTGCTAATGTTTTAAGAGGTAAAGTATTGTTTACTTAGATTAAATTGTCAAATGATCCATAATTTCATAAAACAAAAAATAAATCTTTTCTATAATGTACCAGATCAACTATCAGAGTTGACAGCAAATTTGATAGGACCACCTGGACCTCCAGGTCGGTCAAAACCTGGAAGACCAGGTCCTCCAGGTGTCCAGGGACCACCAGGTATTTGCGTTAACATTTTCGCTACGGCGAAACATCATCTAATTGTAGTTTTAGTACATAAAGCCACATTATTAATAATAATAATAATTTACTAATAAAATCATATTGCATGCAGAACAAACAGCGGAACTAAAATTGGGGTTACGGGGACCATCTGGACCCCCGGGGCTAACTCGAAGAGGTCCGCCAGGAGAACCAGGAGTCCCCGGAATCCCAGGTTAGCTTTAATTAATTACTATATATAATTATGGTTATTCACTGCATGACCCAAGCGGCATTTTTGGTTCCAAAAACCATTACCTAAGTGGTGATAACTTTAAATTAGTTAAGTATACTAAACAATTGTTAGTTAACTACTTTAATTTTTACTTAAAAGTAATTCTAACTTTTAAATAGCAATATTTCGTAACAGAAACTTCGTTCTTTCCTTAAATGGTTACTATAAAGTAATAAACATTTAAGTAAAACTTGGTTGCCCCCAAGAAGACTTTTCAACTTTAAAAAAGGTGTTTTAAGTAAAAAAACTTTTAAGTAAATTTAATTTGTAGCAGTTACTTTCGGTTGCTACCTAAATATTACATTATAATTATTTTTACTTTGTAGTCCCTTTGCAAGTTAAAATCTCGAAACTGGAACATGAGTTAAAAACTATAGTTAATAACTTAAAAGTTATTATTTTAGTATTTGGAACGTTTATGGTACTAACCAAAACTACCGTAAAGTAAAGGTGGAAAAAAAATTAAAGTAGCGAAAACTACTTCAAAGGAAAATGCTTCTTATCGGCCATTTTTTACTGTACAGTACCACGTGGTAATGTAAATAATGAATTATTTTAATTGTTTGTAAATGGTTGTTTACTTTTTAATAAATAGTAATTTAGTTGGTAATAAACGGTATTACCCAAACAACCAGTTTACATTTTATGTACGTACATAGTACGTCGACCTTCGACGTACCTTACATTTTACGTACGTACTGCGATATCTTATGTACATCCTAAGTACGTACTAAGTACGTCAAAATTCCACTCGATAATACGTTTTATGTATGTACATTTACCAAGTATTAAGAACGTAGTTTGTACATAAATAAATCGTACTTTTATTCCCTACACAGAAAAAAGCTATTATTTGTTTGATTGAACTAAATACATTTTTTTAAACCATTTTTTAAGAAACTTGAAATTCCTTGACGCATTACTAGTACACTACCAGTGGTATTATTCTAGAATATTGAACCTTCAGCTCTCTAGAGGAAATGTTTTTAGTGCGTTCACCTACTTGAAAAATTCTTCAAGAATTGACAGCTATTTCCACCTATTTAGTATCAAACAACTTGTATTGTCACACCAAAGTAAAGGACTATCTAAGCCTATATACTCTTCATGTAAGTCAACAGAGGCGAGATTTAAGAACATCACGTGATCCATACCGCCTTTGCCGCGATCGGTACACACTATGCAACCAGGAATACTTTAGAAGTATTTTGTACATACCTTCTTTGTACATACTATGTACGTACTGAGGACGACTGAACCTTACATTTTATGTACATACATATAGTACGTACTTAATACATATTTTTTTGGTCTTAAGACGTAAGTGCGTAAATATAACCAAAAATGTACATTTTTAAAACGTACTGTGTTGTTTGGGTAATAATTAAATATTAAGATATCTTTGTTTATATATATAATAATATTATTAAATAAATAATTTGTTTATACTAAAATATTGTTGAAGCGCATTTATTTTACCAAAACTAAATTCATAAGTTCAACAGTAAAATTTAAAGGGTTTATAAATTGACCTGCCCAATTAAACATTAAGTATATTGTTATTCTGGAAGTTATAAACTACACGGAGAAAAAAGTTTATTGCTCCCAAATAAAAAAAATATTTAAATATGGGACAAGGGTACAGTTTATTTATCCTAAATATATTTTTATTCCCGACATATAAAGTTTTACTAAAGTATATTTATCGTTATTATTTCGACTATTTAGAGGTAATAAACAATATATTCACTACAAATAAAAGTATTAGGTAAACAGTTTATTTGTCCCATTTTTTTCTCAGTGTACCAGTACATATTTAATAAACGACGACATTGAAAAGCCAAGTCCGTAGTGGTTCCATTTAAAAAAGAAGGGATAGTATAATCTAATATAAGTTTGACAAAGACATTTAATATAGAAGTAAAATCAAATAAATAAAAGTAATTATAACGCTCTAGCAACGATATTGAAACGTTCTAGTAACGAAGCAGCTACGTTCCAAATAGTAGCAGGGTTTATAGCTAGTGACATATTTGTTACCTTTTTGGAACTCAATAATTGTTCCGCACTTTAGTCGTAACTTGAAATGAAAGAGTTATATAAAGAGACCGGCGACTGTCGCAAAAAACTTTAAAGTTTCTTCAATAGTCCCATATAGGTAAAAAATACTTAAATTGTTGCTTGGGGAGTTTTACTAATTCATTAACAAAATTTGTGGCCTTAGACGTTAACCTACATTTTCACTATTTAATTAGGTGATCCAGGATTCTCAGGCTTACCAGGCGAAAGAGGATTTATGGGACTCCCAGGACCTCAAGGAGCCCCAGGGTCTGTTGGACTTCCTGGCGAAAGAGGCGAAAAAGGTGATAGGGGGCCAGAAGGAATGGGAATTGAGGGTCAGCCAGGTCCCAGAGGATCACCAGGTATATTTCTTATAAAACTTTTCGAATATTTTTTAAAATGTTTTATCATTTTATCAGGATCACCAGGTCCCCCAGGTGAAGGAATTCCTGGAAGCGCAGGAGAAAGGGGAGAGCCAGGTCGTCCAGGTAACTGAATAAAAAATAAAAAATATTTTTTTTTCAAAATATTTTTTTAGGATCTTCAGGTCTAAGAGGATCACCTGGACCCCAGGGTCCCCCAGGCTATTGCGAATTTTGTAATTATGCTGCAGCCGCTCAAAATTATCAAGCATACGCGCAAGCTCAAGGAAACAATAAAGGATAAAGAAAATACAAATATTTGTACTTAAATTAAAACTTTTTATTTATATAAAATGTTGATTTTGTAAGATAACAGTTCCTAATAATATTTTAAAATTAGTAAATGTCTTTGTATGCATCACTAATTATAAGAAAATACCTAATAAAGAATTGAACCTGAAAATAAAAATGTTAGTACTTAAATTAAACCTTTTTATTTATACCTATTCAATGTTGCTTTTGTTACATATATGTACCTACCTATAAGTAGGTAATAGTTATTTTTTTTAAATGAGTAAAAGAGAACTTAAATTAAACCTTTTTATTTATACCTAATAAATGTTGCTTTTGTAACATAGGTACATACCTAGGTATAAGTACCTAATAGTTATTTTTTAAAAATGGGTTTCCATGTATTCACGTAAGTTACGCTTATTAAGTGGATGTGAATGAGCTTTTAAATGTAGAATTTAAAAATGTATCAAACAAATTTTATTTAAAAATTGTGATAATTTAACTAAACTAATTAAAATTTAACATGCTAAATAAACATGCAGTAAATAAAATAAAGGTCATGATCGGATGCATCCCGAAGCAACCTGTTGTTTAACTTCTTTTATTTTAATTATTTGAAATAAATTAAATTTAAACTTTGCTTCGCGGCGGAAATAAAATCGTTATGCAACCCACACGCACAAGGGCTGACCTGGTTGACGGCTCGCCAGTGTTTTCAGGGGCAGGTGCTCAAAGAAAATGGCGTTCGCTGTGGAATCTTGAGTTGTTAATCTCAAGAAATCGCAGTTTTATGTGTGAAATATAGAAAAGTTATCGTTTTTATATGAAAACAAAATAATACGCAGTAAGTTTTTGTTATTCTAATTTATGGCTGTGGCTTGTTGTTGAATGTAATCAACAAAATTGTTATTTTTCTTGCAAATTGACAGGTCTGTCTATAAAATAAGCGAGGATATTTATTAAATTATTGGATTTTCCTTTAGCGTTGAGTTTACTTGTGATATGATTAAAATAGTTTGCTTTGACTAAAATATCTGTGAAACGCAAATTTATTTGATTGACAGGTGGAATTTGTTATGTTAATATTTTTATTTCTACAATATCAAAACAAAATCACCAAATTGATATTGTTTATAGTTTTATCAACAATTTTGTTTATTTTTGTAGTAATGCAGGGTCAAGAAGGCCTTTCTGGGTCTTCGGACCACAGATTAGCACTAATCCATGAAATGAGTGCCCATAATTTTGACTTGATTAGGTTTGCTTCATACAGAACCGCAACAAAATTGAGATTTATCCAGAAAAAAGTCAGCTGTAAGTATTTCCCATTTTATTTTGCATTCTATTGTAATTTAATACATTGAACTATGTTATGGGTGACTTTTGCTATTTGTGTCAATTGATTTTAATTATCCTAATCATTGTTAAATATAACCAGGATTACTAATAGATATTTTGTAATAATAATAGTAAGTATTATAAGTCTAACAATTAGATGAGTTTATACAATAGTTAGTGTCTGGTGTCAATTGATTAATGTTTTGTTTTATTTACCTATGTATTTAGAACAGGAAATCCTATTTTTATCTAATTAATTGTAATTAACATACTTTTTCATTTGGTCTGCTACCTAAAGAGTTTGTAATATTAAAAAAAAAATCTATGTGTGTTCCACAAAATTTATGTTCTACATTTTTTTTAAACCCTACTTGTATACAAAGGATAACAAAAAAATGTTTTCTTTATTTTAAAAATCACAATGTAATGGAATAGGTACTACACCAATTTTGATAAAAATTTATAAAAACAGTTTGATTATTTGCAAATAATAATAGTAGGTATATTGTAAAACAATGACCCGTATTCTGATACCGAGTTATTTTGCCGCACGACTGAGTATCACAATAAGTCATAGTAACATGAGTTTTTTTTTATTACCTATGTATTTCGAGTATAATTTATAAATCTTTAAAAAACTAATTAATTTTACTAGGTTGGCACAATTGATTTGAAGCAAAATGTCAAAATTATATATTTAATGTCAGTCAAAATAAAACGTCAAATTTTGTTAAGTCTATTTCAATGCTTCTAAGAGCTAGACACAGTTTACATTTACTTATTTTGATTTTATTTACATTTAATAACATAATTTTGAGAAGTCAAACTAGAAAAACGAGTTTTTAACATATTAAAAGGGTTGCCAACAGCCTAAAATAAAATAAAACTAATTTCGATGTTCCTAAGAAGCTCTTAGTAGCACTGAAAACGATGCGTCTAAAAACTAGTTGCATCTAAATAGACAAACATTAACATTTCTACAAAGCTTGTTTTATTATATAGTTATGTAAAATTTGTCGTGTTAATTTATAAAAAAAAATTATGAATTTAGAAATAAGCTAATTATTTTAGAGAAAAAAAAATTAAAAAAGTAGTGCCACAAAATAAAACATTTTTTCTAAAACGTAGTATTTTTGAGAAAAGAAAAAAAATTGAAAGAGAAAATATTTTGGTACCAGTAATCGAAACCTATTCTCTGGGTGAGAGCCAGGTATCTTAACCACTAGACCAAAGGGATAATATTTTGCCCTGCTTAGCAAAACTATCTTATCTACAATATTAAGGACAAAAGATAATTTTAATTGCTAAAAGCATTAACAATTATTTTTTGTCCTTTATTACTTAATATTGTAGATAAGGCAGTTTTGCTAAGCAGGACAGTATTATAATTTATTTTAAACAAGAGCTTTTTACTAAGGTAAGGTTTAGTAGCGCAGTTCTATTCTATTCTAAGTACAATAGATGAATTAAAATAATGAATTTAAAGGTTCATAAGATATATTTCACGTTATAATATTAGAATAATAAAATAAATTTACATTTATTTTGTGTAAACATTTTGGCAAAATTTGCACAAAAATTGTGCAAATTTTCAATGCAAACGTTTGCATGTAATATGTGTTTGAATGGATTTAATTTTTGTGTACATGACATTGTATTCATCTAAATAAAAACAATCTAAGATTTAAGCTATACATCCTTAAGTTAAAAAAATAACTAATATTGAAAATATACTGTAGTTTTGTGTAATATTATTATACTTGATTTAAGAATCCACATTGTTGATTAAAGGTTTATTTATTATTAGGACACATTATGCACTAAGTAAAATTTGTGGTGCATGCCTCCAATGTATTTCCAAAACTGCATAGGTATAAAAAATCAAGAAGGAAATATCGACTATTTTTTTTTTGAAAGTATATCGAAAATATTGTTTTAGGCTCAGAACTCCCAAACCATTGAGTTTAACAAAATTGACTTAAATTTTTTTTTAAAGCAAATCGAATGCTCTACAAAAAAGGTTTAATTGGACTTTCCCGTCAGATGAACCCTTTCCTTACAATAATGCCTTAAACAATTGGTATAGTTTTACAATTTGATCTTTCAACTTTGGAATTTTGTAATTCAAGTAAAAATCAGTACCCTGAAAAAAAAAACGATAAATATTCTTATGGGAAATCAAATCCTCTACAAAAAAAGTCTTATATCATTTTTGGCTAAATTCACTCTATCAAAAGTTATTCAAGGTTAAATTTGAAGTCAAAACGAAATTTTAACCTTGAATAACTTTTGATTGAGTGAATTTAGCCAAAAATGTTAAGAGGATTTTTTTGTAAAGCATTTGGTTTCCTATAAGAATATTTATCGTTTTTTTATGGGTACTGATTTTTACATGAATTACAAAATTCCAATTTAAAAGATCAAAATGTATTTATAAGTCAATTTTGTTTGGGAGTTCTGAGCCTAAAACTTGCTGAGGAAAAAAAAATTAAAATTGCGATGATAGACCTCTTAATATTAATATTATGGACTGAAAGTTTCACAATAATTTTTTATGTCACCCCAAACCATATTTTCGATATTTTTGGCCCATTCTAATGAATACAGTAATTTTTCAAAAACCCATCCAATTAATCATCTATTATTATTTTTGAAAATTTGCCAGATTCCATCCATAAATTATTATGTCTTGAATACCTGATCATGTAATATTAATAATTGACCATTAATAATTCTATTTTAGTGCATGCTGTAGACATTTGGAATGTGATCGAAGCCTTTCGGGAACAAGGTCTGCACGCTCTAGAGCCGTCTTCGGAGCTGAGCGTTGCCAGACTTGAAACCCTGTTATGTTCCTTGTATCACAGCTTGAACAAGAGGGCGCCGCCCACGCAACAGGCCCACGTCGACGTTTGTTCCGGCTTGCTGCTGAATTGGATCTTGGCCGCGTACGCCACCGTCGACAATGTCGGCAAAATTCGGGTTTTCTCGATTAAGGTCGCTTTGGCAACGCTGTGCGCCGGCAAGTTAGTCGACAAGCTAAGATGTGAGTTAAACTTAAATAGTACATTTTGACTTATTAATAATGATAACTTAAAATTATTAATAATGACATTATTGGATATATGTAGTATATTACCTACCAAAAAATTTATCAAATTTCACTTAAGGAGTTACTGTCTAAAACTCATTAAATCCATAAAGATAACGCTGAAAATAGGGGGTTTTATCTAATATGATTTAAGCAGTTTTTTAAATAAATATTTGCAGTTTTAATAAAAATTGCGATTTATATTTTTCGATGGATTTATTTCATTTGATCCACCAAAATGTGGATTTATTCCTTTTTGTTTAATTTTTATTTGGAAATTCATTTTGCTTGAAGAAAAAGTGCAATGCGCTGTTGCCATATTAATGCATTTAACAAAAACTTGGTAAAACTATTATTTATTTTATATTTTTTAAGTTAAAATAGGTTTTAATAAACAGTGAGTAACTACAGTCTTTATTTTCTCATATATCTTAAATCAATCAGTTGATTTCTAAATATATTATTCAAGCTATTGATTTGTTTTGTTATTTGGTCCATTTATAATGGTTATCCTGTTATTTTGTTTTTTATTTTTATCAACAATTTCCGATTGATTTGAAATCCATTAACAGCAAAACAAAGTTTGTGTTTATAGAAGAACGATAAACTAAGTAACAAATAACAAATAATCCAATTTTTGCAAATGTTTGAAATTTTGCCATTTTAATTGTGTAAATATATATTTATGAATTTTCAATACTACATTAATACAATTTTTGAGAAATAACCCTTCTAAATAATACTTATAAAGAAAATCAAAAGCTTGAATAAATTTTGAAAAATTATTTTACTCCCAATGACAGAGCATTCCAATGTTAAACTCAACTCTCTTACCTGAGTTTATTAAAATAATGTTAATAGTGTTAAAATAATTTTTAAATTAAATGTATATTTTGTTTTTGTATACCACAGTCTATTTTGTATATCACGATCTCGCTCATGAGATTTCCATACAAAATAAGCTATAATTATAATTTTTTAAGCTATTAGCATAATTCTATTTTGTTCCTCAAGTTTGGAAACGTATTTTTGAAATATTCTTTCGCCTATCTGTGGGAAATAACACTTCTGCACAAGTTTTATTTTCCATAGATTCTTTTAAAAATTCGTTTTTATACTCTAGCAACAAAAGACCATAGTTAATGGCTTTGAAATTGATTATTAAATTTTTTTATAGAGTTCATAAAAACAATTTTTTTACTTCCACCTTTAAATTTTAGTCACGGGCTGAAGTTAACAACAAGTTTTTAGTCACGGGCGGAAGTTAGTATTAATTTAGTTGACAGTTGTTAAATGCCATACACTCCTTGAAATAAAGTGCATTTTTTGTAAAATAATACTAAATGTGAAAATTATTTTATTATCTCAATACAAATAAATAAAAGTATTAAATAGTTTCTCAAAAGTTTATATGAACATTGTACTGACCTTTTAATTTCGCCGGCATTAAACTGTAACTTAAATTCGGGCTCGGACTCCACTGTGAAGTGGTCATAAAACATTTTCTTTACTTTCAATGTGAAAAAATGTTAATTCATTTTCAAGGAATACATTTCGATTTATAACCTTTAAAATCTGTGTTTATAACACATAAAAATTTGACATTTGACGGTAACACAAATTCCCCTATTGGTTTATAGATGGCTCTATACAAATATTTGATTTAAATCATTTTATCTACTGCTACATTGACGATCTGTGACCTTATGTCGTTTTAGTCACAGGCTGAAGTGGCTTTTGGTAATTTTAGTCGCAGGCTGAAGTTACCTTTATTATAAATTAGGGAAAAGTGAGGTTAAATCCGTTAAAAGTTGATAGATGTCAAATGTTTAAAAAACAAAATTGGCTTTAAATTCTTCTTTGTGTTCGTCGAAGATAAAGTATAGTATGCAAGTCGTTTTATAAACTTATCTAGACAATAATCACTCGCTCGTGCCTAATAAATCTTGTAACTAAAATGGCGTTTATAAGACTTGATAGGTACATAATATATTATTTTTAGCATTTTTTAAAATAGTCACTTAAAATTTTGTGCTGTCAACTTAAGAAACACAAAAGTATGACAGTTTTAAAGCCTAATTTTGCCTAATAGATGTAATATAAAAAAATTATATTGTTACCACAGACCTACAAACCTTGTTTGTAGGTCTGTGATTGTTACCTATTTACTTTTTATCTTATTTTTTGTTTTTAATAATACTTTAATTTGTAATAAAGTAGTAATTTGTTAATTTAAATACGTTTTAATTTTTACTACATTGGCATCGCTGAATTTGATCTCACGGCCTACTGTTATTTATTTATAAAATTATTCTGGACCTAATAACACCTAAAGCGTGGTAATAGCCTAAGGGCGTTTTCATGACACCCTATATAAGTACACTTATATAGTAAATAAATTATAATAAATGCTTTCACATTTTTTACCTGCGGCTTAAAATTACCTACTACAATAATAAATAATTGCGTTTATTGAACTCTATTGTAATGCAAATCCTATTTCCAGATATTTTCTCTCAAATATCCGACAGCAACGGCATGTTATTGCAATGGAGGTTTAACGAATATCTTCAAGAAGTTTTGGCGCTACCTGCAGCTGTTTATGAATCTCCCACCTTTAACTATACCGACTCTTTGGCTAACACTATTTTTAGCTCGGTATGTAACAGAATAACAATTAACCTAGCCCAACAATAGCAATTACCAAAAACATTTTTAGAAAGCGAACGTGACCGTAAACGATTTTTTGGACATTCTAATGTCTGAACCAGGGCCTCCAGCCCTAGTTTGGCTACCACTTTTGCATAGGATTGCCAATGTTGAAAACGGTAAAAAATACTGGAAGTTAATTTGAATTTAGGCATTAATGGTCTTTATAAATTCCAAATATAACAACAAATTTAGTACCGAATTTAGTACAGCTGAAGTAAAACTTCTAATTAAATTCGTGTTTTTGTTTTTATTATCAACTTGAGGATTTTTTCCCCAATACAAGTGATTTTCTGCCACCATCGGGAAATATGAATTTTTGTAAAAAATCTAGGGAATTTTATCTACTTATATAAAATTTAACAAAATCTACTTGTCCTCATTCAAACTTTTAAGGTTTTAAGCTGTTTTTAAGCTTAAAATTTGTACATTTTTCACACATTTTTTTAAAATATTAAACCACTGAATTAGCCATACCATTTTTTAAAAAATGTATCCTACTGTGCAAATTACAAAATATGGAAATCCAAGCCATGTCACATGTCCTCAATCAAGTTGTGCTTTTTTTTTCAAATTTTAAAAATCTATCCTACCATTTTTTATACTTATGCTAATGTGCAAATTTTTCCCCAATTTTTATTTTTGAACAGATGCGAATTTATCCTACTATATTTTAATTTTGAACTCCTGTGCGAATTTGTCCCACCATTTTTTAAATTTATGCTACAGTGCGAATTGTGTTCCAATATTCATATGACACAGGTATGTGCACCCCATCAAAAACATATTTCAGAATTTTTTACCCAACTAAAAAAGGAAGTTACTCTTTATTTTTAAAATACCTATACATTTTTAAAAAATTGAAGTATCGGGACGTTTTTTTTCAAAATTTATGTGTTAAATGTACTTTTCAGAAAAATATTAAAAAAAAATTTTTTGTTTTTTTTATTAGGAACTGACATTTTCTGCAAATTCTCTAAAACTTTCATTGTAATTTAATAAAAAGCTTATTTCTTATAATACCACTCTGGAGATTTTTGAGGATGTTGAGAAAACCTAAGTTAAAAAAAATTAAATTGAAAGGGGTAATCATTGAAAAAATTTCAATGTTTTTTGAAAAAGTAAAAAAAAAAATTGAAAATAGTTCTAAATAATTTTTTTATATATTTTTGAAAACAACATTTTTGAGGTTCTCTCTACATCCTCAAAAATTTCCAGAGTGGTATTATGAGAAATAAGCTGAGTTAATTTTTGTTTTCAATTGAAAAAGAAATTGAAAACAAAAAACGCCACAAATTTCAGAGGTTTGCAGAAAAGTTTCTAATAAAAAAATAGAACAAACAATTAGACAATCTTTGATAAATTTTCGTTTTTTCCCGAAAAATCAAAAAAGGTCGGTTTCAATAATTTCTTTATAATTTTTTTATTGAATGTTTTTTTATAGGGTGGTAAAAGATAAAAAATGTTATTATTCCTTTGCATTTCTTGTAAAATTTTGATAACATTCAAATTTGGAGGGACCAAAATTAGTTTGTTGTTTTAAATTAATGAAATATTTTTACCCCAGATTTTTTTTAATACAAAACAAAAGTAACAAACATTTTGTTGGTCAAGAACATTTTGAAATATTCCCAATCATATTAAATAAAATATTGAATATTTTGAATAAGATTTTGTAACAAAATTGAAAATAACATGATGTGAGACAATTTTTTTTCCACCTAAAAAAACACTTGTAACCATTGCTTAAGTTCAAAGAAACTTTTCTATGATAACCTGTTAAAATTAACATTTATTAATATTAAATGTTTCCTTAGTTATTCATCCAGTTCAGTGCGACGCTTGCCAAAGAGAAAACTTTACCGGCTTCCGTTACCGCTGTCAAAAATGTCCTCATTACACTCTTTGCCAAGATTGCTTCTGGAGAGGTCGCGTATCTCAGCCGCATACCTTAGATCACCAGGTCAAGGAGTATGCGTCATTTGTGAGTTATTTTACGAAAAAGTCGACTTTGTAAATAGTTTTGGTTTTTAGTCTCCCAGTAAAACAATAGGTCATTCTCTACGAAAATCATTCCGATGCGTTCCCGATAAGCAGAGGAACAACTTGCCAAGGTTTCCCGAACAGCCCGAGAAAACGTTGAACTTGTCCCATATAGTGTAAGTAATAGTTACCATGGCACTTTGCCAGTTTTTAAAAATTGTTATTTTAGGCCACCTTCTCCTATACCATCTCACAATGGTTTTCCAGATGGCAACTTCACTTCCCCATTTGATGGCATGGGTAGTTTAGACAGCAGGTCAACTGCTAGGAGGTATTTTGCATTAAAATTATTTTTATCAAAAATTGAAATCATTTTTTTATAGTTTGGACAGTGCGAGAGACGATGAACACCGTCTAATCGCTCGTTATGCTGCTAAGCTAGCCCAGGAGGCCCGCTCAGGCATGGTAAAAACATTTCATTTATTTTCTTAATTCTGTATCCTCCCCTTAAATTTTAATCAAATGTAAATAAATAATTGTTATTGTAAATAAACCATGGCATGGTCTCTCTGATTTTGATCTTTTTTATGTTTTTATGTTGGGATGATGTTCCTAAATGTGCTTTTGCTGTTTGCTTCTTTAGCCTCGAAACGCCGGCTACAGAAAACACTCACTTACATTGGACACGGTAAGTCTGCTTTTTGCACATCCTCATAAAAGGTGTCTAGTTTTAAATAAATCAATTTAAAATTATTGACTGGGAAATAGTGTTTATTTATTATTTATTACATAATTGCAAAGAAATGATTTATCTTGTTTTTCTGATACTTGATTTATGTATATTCTTTGACACTGACAATAAATCAAAATGGACATGATACCCTAGATAATAAAAATTACAGTTTCAAATATAATTTTTAACTGGGCAATACCAATAACTTCCCTTAATAAATATATTATTTTTAACTAGGCACCTGCACATTTCCCATTTAGAGTTAACTATATGTTTGATTAAAAAATACAGTCTCTGGCCAATTAGACTTGCTTATGCATTTTATTTAATTTAAGAAATTTGTATAATATTTTCCAAACAATGCAGTTTTTAACTAAAAAAGTGATTTTATGAATAGAATTGAATCTGTGAGAATAAGAACAGTATACATGTCCAAATGTTTGAATTTTGAGAAAACAAAATAAACTGTTTATTTTGTTTATTAGGATTTTTCCAGGATTAAAAGTACACATAAGCTGTGTTGTATGAGTACTGTTCTTAATCTCAATAAAATTCTGACACAGAATTCTTATAACAATCTTTAGAATTCTGTTTTAGAATTGAAAAAAATAAAATATGACGATGTGGTAAAGCATTTTTATTGATAAAGAGCATTTTTTTAACAAAAAGCATTTTTATTGATCAAAAAGCAATTTATTGAACAAAATAAACATTTTTATTGAAGAAAAATATTAAATAATCAATTTTGTATACTGGCATCATCATCCGTATTAGTGTTTGGCCAGGATGTTACATGGTGGTAAAACTAGATCTTCTCCCTTTATGATCTTTATTATATTTTTTATATCATTTATTTTCTTTTCATTACATGGTGGTCCAGTTCTTTTTTCTTCGACAATTTTTCCAGATGTAGACATATAAAACTCACCATGCTGACGTGCAAAGTTTATATTATTAATTTTTCATCATTCTAGATTTTTCCTATGTCTTGTCTCATTTTCGCTACTATCAGATGATAACATTGTTGTATTCTACACTTAAGCAGCATAAAATACCAACTGACAGCTTTCCTGAGCATGACCACCTTAAACTTTTAGTAGGTATATAATGTCCATAATCAACAACAACATTTGTTGGGAATAAGAACAGTACAAGTCCAGGACTTGTACTGTTCTTATTCTCAATGCTTCACAGTTAGCTCTGACAAACACCTTAACAAGCCGATTTTAAAAATGTTCTTCTACTTCATCGATGCTGCTTCAAATTTAAAACAAAATGGCTATTTCAGATGAAAATGTCAAATTTTGGACTTGTACTGTTCTTATTCTTACCGAATCAATTGCGTTAAAAACGCTTTTAAAGACTATCAAACCCATAATTAAGGTAAAGTTCAATTAAAGAAGTTATGATAAAAAAATTAAAAATACCTACTTGTTATAAAATTATTTTTCACAAAAACGACTTTTTGGCATTTTGATTTCAACATGGTTAGATATATCCAAGCATTTTGTAATCAACGTTTTATTGCATAAATGAGTTTTAAAGCCCAAAGAGTAATTTTAAAATATTAATTTTATAACATAATAATAGTATACTTCTATGGGTATTTTTTTATCTGTGCTACAAGGTCCGTTATCAGTGGCGTATTTAGGGGGGGGTCCGCCGGGTCCGGACCCCCCCCGGGAGCACATATTTTATTATTTTTATTACAAAAAAAAGTTTAAAAAAAATAAAAACCTCAAGACAGTCAACGTACTTTATTATTTATTAATTATATTTAAATATAAAATCATTAAAATCAAAAATCAACTACTTACGTATTAAAGAGAAAGAGGTGGTTTGGCAACCCTGTAGGTATATAGTTCCTACCTCTTTCTCGTGTCGTTATGATCGAGGCGCGAACAGAAATTATTTCTGAGTTCTGAGAAATAGAAATATACCATGAATAGATAGCGCGTGCGTGAAAAATAGTGGCGTCTCTTTTCTTATTATAATAAAGAAAAAGATGCCGCTCTTTTTCACGCACGCGCTATCCATTCATTATTAAAGCATAGCATAGTACATATTTAGTTAGTTTTTTTGGACCCCCCCCGGAGCTAAATCCTAAATACGCCACTGTCCGTTATATTGGTAAAATTTGCGTATTTACCAGCCTATTAAAAAAAATATAAACTGAAAAACCTTTTAAAACTAATTGTTCTTATTTATTCCTGGGAATTTTGAAAAAAATTAAGTTTTACATGTAAACATACGCATTTATCTACTTTTTCATCCAATTTGTGATTTTTTTCGCCCACTACATTTTTAGTTACCATTACCATCTTTTGGTTTTCGTAAAAACTTTTTCTTATGGTCGCCATATTAGAATTTTACATAGAAAAAAATCAAGGAATCTAACAATGTACCAAACTACATAAGTTATGGCAGCCATTATAAAAAGTTAACTTAAAATATAGTAGCAAAGAAATTGGATAAAAATGTAATATTTTCAGATATTTTAAAAAGCGCTGTTTTTTGCAATTTATAAATTTTATATTAAAAAGTATCACTTTTTTATTTTCAATTTTATTGTAAAAACACGATTCTATTCATAAATTTAATTTTGTAGTTCAAAAATGCATTTGATATTAATTTACTATTTTACAAATTCACAAAATTCAAGAAATTTGAGTGAGTATGAGTATGAGTATAAGAGACGTATAACCATCCCCATTTCCTCTTGACTCTCGAACCCCGTACAGGCCTATGTTTACTTGCGCCGATTTTTGTTCTTCCCCAGCAACTGCACGGCTTCACCCGTGTTTGCTGGGTGCGAATGTCCATTGCGTTTCGTACTGTCCCCTATTTGGGGCTCGAGAGCGAGAGGCGAATAGTTATAATAGCCATTCCCGGGTTCGCCGAGCCTATGCTATACGCTCGGTGGGGTGTGGATGAGGGACGGGAGGGAGTTGGTTTTTGGGGGACAATTACGCCGACTTAAAACTAAGTACGACGCGGAATCCCCCTAGACCAGTCGATTAGTTTTACTCCAAACATTTGGGATTACTATTTGGAGTTGGGGAGTTGTTATTTCGCTGCAGGGGTGTAGTCGAGGTCTTTGTCTTGTTCGTTATTGTCATTGTCCGTGTCCTGGTCAGATAGCTCCTGCCCTTGGTAAAGTGTTCCAAGGCATTGGATTTATTCGCTAGTCCAACAAATCACAAGCGCGATCATTCTGTCGTCTATGTTTACAAATCTCGAGTTTGGTTATTAGGCCCTTTTTTTAATGTGTTAGAATTATGTGATCAATGTTAGTTTACTCTGTCAGTCCAGTGTTTATTTTCGGTCTCGATTGGGACCGCTTTACGCACTTGCCGTTGACAGACTTATTGCCCAACGCCGCGCGCCCTTCGCAGGTTTTAAAGATATCCCAATAAACACTTTAACGATACCTATCACCATTAGCATTGTCCGTGTAAGAATTTTTGACTTTTTAATACAATTTTGCAATGATAGTACTTAAAAACAAAACAATTGTTTAAAGAGTAAAATATGTTCTAAACATAATCATATTTTAAAGTTATTTTAACATTTTCAAGTAAAATAAATGTTATGTTTAATGAAATGAATACGGGCAATGTTAATGGAGACAAGCAACGGAAAATGCTTGCTGCAGCCCATGGGATCTGCCGTGTGACCCTAAATTTATTTATGATAAATTTTTGTCTTCTTGCTTGAATTGGTTTATTTGCTTACGCCTTTTACGCTGGTTGTTTACGTTTGTCTACTATGAGAAAGTTAGGTTGTTTATTTAACAGTTACGGAAATGTTCATATTATTTTTTAAATTTAATTTTTAAGACGAATAGATTTCTTAGATTTTTTTGCAACATTGTGAAATGCTTATATAAACATTTAACGATTATACGGTAAGACATGCAATTAGAAGAATTACTTAGCTTGATTATTAGGCTATAAACCTGATGCTTTGTCTTTCGCGGGGTGGCCTTCTCCTGTAGGTTTTTGCATAGAAAAAGGACATTTTTGGAACGCTCCGATCCAGGTGCGCCGGTTGACTTATCGTTGCTGCCCAGCCTCAATTAGGCACTTATTCACTTGCTCACTTTTACGGCGTTATCTCACAATTTTCGCACTTCTTGCACTTGATTGTTTATTTATGTATTTATTTATTATTCATTAACGATCACCGACATTTCCGGATACTTTGTTTCGTTTTTGGTATTTTACGTTTGTACCGTATACGCCACTTGACGCATCCGACCTCTTCGAGCATCAAAACGGTACTGACAAAATTCAAGAAATTTGTAAGTTTAATAAATTGGCCAGGGTCTGTATGTTAAAGAATAATAATGTTAATGTTTTATGTTTCTTGTAACGGGTGGTCTATAATGTTGGAAAGTTTTAAACAAATGTAATATAATAATGTAATGTAACTAAATCTTATACATTCAGGAAAATCTCTTCAATAAATAACTTTACAGCGCAATAAATAATTGTCTTGACTTCCCTATTACAATTGAAAATGTTTAGATTAAAAGAATGTTTAGACCTACAGAAGTTTTTGATAATATTATTTTAAAGTTTATAAACGATATTTTTTCAATTGTCTAAAAGCACATTAAACATTAAAAAATAATCATATATTGTTTTACTTAGTTATTATACTTAATAATATAATATTGGCTTTATTATTTTTTAAATTATTTGCATTTATTTATAAATATTTTATGTGGTATAACTAGGGTTGCCAAAAATCAAAATACCGTAAATAACTAGAAAATATAGAAATTTAAAAAAATATTGAAATAAATCATGTTACTAATTTATTGAAAATAAATACATACTAACTGTGAAGTGTGACAAGGGGGAGCCCTCCCCCTCGGAATATTTCGTCACAAGTTGTCATTAACTTATACAAATATTTGCGTATAAAATTTGAATTTGTGTCGTCACTAGGAGAGCACAACCAGAGAGGGGGTCGAAAATTGTGTGACGTTATAGGTGAACATACCTATTTTTTTTTAAATTACTAAAATAGTACCTATTGATTAAAGATTATATTTTAAATCCAACTTAAATACAATAATATAACTGAACAGAGCAACTAAATTTTCCCAGCAACTATAAAATATTAAATGTTGTTTTAAAACACTGAAATATAGATTTTGCTTCTATATTTTGGGTATATAGAAGATAGAAGATTATCGTTAAATATAGAAGTCCTCCTAAAGGTATAACTGATCTTTCATATTTAGGGTCGAGTTCCTTCGGAAGCTTGTCTAGGAATGGATTCAACCAGGGCTCAACGCGAACTCATAGGTCAATTGGAAGCGAAAAATAGAGAAATTATGAGAGAAATCGCAAGATTAAGGTAGGATTTTTCATAAAAAAATATAATAATTTTAAATTTGCAATCAAAACTTGTAGACGCCAACAAGAATTAGAGTCTAGCGGTCACGGTGCGGACAACCCAGTTTTGATGAATGAACTCCGCGCACTGCGCATGCGTAAAGACGAGCTTGAAACTCACCTTACCACCCTCCAAGACTCCAGAAGACAACTGATGATACAACTCGAAGGCCTAATGAAAATGTTGAAGGTAGAATATACTAACCTACTTAACACAAACAAATATTGAATGAATATTTTTGCCAACCGAAATATTTTAGACATAGATATTTACAGTTCATTGCATATTTATTTAAAAAATGTTGATAAAATGTTGCTTTTATATTTATAAAAACCGTGTGATACTTTTTGTGTACTGAATTTTCTTGTTTTGGAGTGCAAAAAGTAGATATGGTATGGTATTATCATATTAGATATACTAAAGCAGTGTAATACCATTATAAAAATACAAGAAAATTTAGTACACGTCTTAATAAAAAATATTTTAAAAAATAGTTTGTTTTAAAAATAATCGATATAAATAAAAGTGAAATATGTAAAAAAACAAAAATTCTTTGGTTTTTCTTTCTAAGTTTCTTTTTTCCTTTTTTTTTCTAAATTTAGCTTGAGCCAGGCATTGTCGTGACTCCGGTAAAATGCAATTTTTCGTCGCGGTTTCGGTTTTTGGATTTTTCCGGATGAAGGCTAAAAATTATTTAAATTAAAGTCAATTAAGTTCAATCACGCTCGGGCAATTACTGTTTTGTTTTTAAAAATTAAAAAACAATAATATTTTTGGTTTTCTAAGCGATTTTATTAGGTTTATGTTTGTTTATTGTTAATAAGAAATTTACCGATAGAATAATCGCCTTCAATAGGGTGGCAATAATATTGTAAGATACCGCCGCGGTCAGTACATAAATAGCAATAATGATTTAAACAATAAAAATTAATATAATACATACCTCTAGCAGGAAGGATTATCTGTTTAATTTATTATTTTAACTTGTACAACATTTCATCAACCTTTTATTTATAAATATTGTTCTCCAAACGAAATGACAACATTTTTAAAACATAATGTTTTATGTGGGAATAAACATTATGTGTAATTTTATTTTTTATGCAGCACTAAAAGTAGTATGTTTGAATGAATTTCTTCAGAATAATTAATATTTTACTTTAATAAATTTATATTTTTGCATCACAAAATTATAAAAAGGAATGTCCCAAAAAGAGCTTGTTTGAACCAGAGTTGCAAAAATGTTAATGTAAAAAATAATGCAATCGTTATTTTTTTAATGGTAATGTAGTTTGAATACTTTAATCATTAAAATATCATGAGTAATATTTTAAATACACATTAAAAAATTAATGAGTAATGTCATTGACATTACCCATTACATCAGTGAAAAATGATCAGGGGTAGGGTTGATTAGGTGATTTATGGGGCATTTTACACCAAGTCTGACAGTTTGAAAAATGTAGATTTTTCGATTTCTACCCATTAAAAATTTGTTTATGGTAAAGTTTCATATTTTTTTTGATTAATCATTCAAAATATATAATATCAAATTTTTAAAACAATCTCGTTTTTTGGTTGTTTGCTGCTAATTTCTTTAATAATGGTCCGAATTGAAATTTTTATTTCTTAAAATTATCCAAAGCATATGCAGGGTGATTGATAGTCGATAGTACGTTAGACGTTTACGGAGAACGATACATAGGAATGATCTGAAAATTTGGTTACTTAAGTTATTGCTTCTGATCTATCGTTTTAAAATATTTTTAACGATGCGACGTTGCCGCGTATACAAAAAAGTAGCATCACCGGTGATATTTTAAATGGGACCCCCTATATATTATTGCATTTTTTGATCCGTTATTGCATTCTGAATATTTTCGTATACACTTCCCTATACCTAACTAGTGGTTTTCTAAATATAAATTAATTTCTTTATTTTTTCTTGAAAGCATAGCTCCAATTAATTTATTTTTACTACGCCACTGGGCAAGGTGTGCCTGAACGAAGTTTAAGTCACATAAAAATGCCGCCGAAAACTGATTGCAGTTTCTTGTTCGGGACCCTTTGGTGACTTAAAAATGATATTTACCAAAATCCTAGCTGCTCCTCTTTTCGAAATTTTTTGAAAATTCTTAATTTTTTTTGTAATTTTTGTTTATCTTACCTTTAACAGAGTACAGATTTGTACACCGATTTTTATAATATTGGAGTATATTGTTAACGAGACTTGGAGAATACTGTTTTCATACTGAGCACATCATTAGATTTATATAGGGTTAGCCAAAAATCACTTTTTATTTAGTAAAAAGGATAATTAACAAAAAAAATTTTCCTCAAAAAAATGTTATTTTATTTAATTTTATTCAAAATTAATTTTTCTTATAAAGTCTTAATAAGAATCCCATTTTGTAGCCTGTTGAATATAAAAATATATAAAAAAAAATAGTATAAAACAGTATTCTCCAAATCTCCTTAACAATATACTCTAATATTATAAAAATCGGTGTACAAATGTGTACTCTGTCAAAGGTAGACTTTAAGATAAACAAAAATTTAAAAAAAAATCATGCATTTTCAAAAAATTTCGAAAAGAGGAGCAGCTAGGATTTTGGTAAATATCATTTTTAAGTCACCAAAGGGTCCCGAACAAGAAACTGCAATCAGTTTTTGGCGGCATTTTTATGTAACTTAAACTTCGTTCAGGCACACCGTGTGGGATTCGTAGAAAATTGAAATTTTGGACGTAGTTTAGGGAGGTCCTGTGTATTAGTTCTGAGTAAGAAAATTTGATCTACATTATACTGGGTTGGTAAAAATGAGTTACTTTACCGCTAGAAACAACATTGGTGAAAAGTGCATTTTTTTAAATGGAACAGCCTGCATTTTATCAAATATTCTAAAAGCCAATTAAAATCCCCTTCAAATGATATATCTCGTTCCTATACCTAAATGGTTAGGTAAGTAAAGTAACTGGGCAACCCAGAGAAGTTTCACTTAAAAAAAATATGTCAAATTCGATAAATTATTATTTTGTTATAGTAATTTTACTTAATTACTCGATTAATTCATGAAATAAAGTAAAAAAAAACGATTGTAAGACTACATTTATAAGAAATTGTAATGGGGTAGTTAAATTTTTTCTGACCTATACTTTTTATGGTTTTATTCAAGGCGTTTTGTAATATTAAACATTTCTGTGAAATCAGAATTTCGTTTTCGAGATATTTACAAAAAATATAAATTTTTATGACGTCACAAACCTCGCCATGTGACCAACATTCTAAGATTTCTATTGGTTGAAAATTACCCTGTTGTCAAGTTGTCTTGTTAATGATTTCATTCGGTTATGTCAGAAAATACCCGAAGAGGTTATGTACAAATACTGTCACTGTCAGTTGAGTGAAAGATGGTCACCAAATTCATTAAGTACCTATCTTTCTTATTACGAGGTATCATACTACCGGCCTCGGTGGTGTAGTGGTCAGAGCTCCTGGGTACGAGCCGAGAGGTCGTGGGTTCGAATCCCACTTGGGTATGGTTGTTTATTTGTGTTTGTCCATTGTGTATAGTCCTTCGGAGGGGACTTTAAGCCGTCGGTCCGTTCCTACCCCTAACCCGCACAAGCCATTCAGTTGGCTTATGGGACATCTTAGTTTGGATGTAAGGGTGGAACTAAAAGAGCACTTTATAACTTTATAACTTTATAACTTTATTTTAGAGTCCAAGATATATCTAAAAGAATATATTCATTATACTAATGAAATGCATTTACGACAACATATGATTATAATTATAGGTACTTACTTTATTTGTTTAAAAGCTCCAATGTTCAATGTAACCAACCATTCCAAAAGATTCCTTTGCTTTGGAGTCCGTTATTAATAAATCACTTATTTAATATCAATTACAAATAACATAACAATAACATTGATTTTCAATAATCTAAATTTAAAAAAACATAACCCGATAAAAAGAAACGTCAAAAAATCAATTCTTCTTCTTCTTCTCAACTAAAATTATAGATCAAGTGGTTTTAAAACTAAAATATTATAACGTGGCGCCATCTATCGTAAGAATCTTAAACTAAACACACTGGCAACCATAGAAAAAGCTGGCAACGTTGTCAATAGCCTAGTGACGTAGTTAGGAGATTTTTTTTGTAAATATCTCGAAAACGGTAAACTCAATTGAAATTCCGATTTCACAGAAATGTTTAAAATTACAAAACGCCTTGAATAAAACCATAAAAAGTATAGGTCAGAAAAAATTTAACTACCCCATTGATAAAGAAGCATTTTGTAAAATGTACCTTTACACTTTTCTTTAGAACCACCAGTCTTCGCCGCGCAGTACTCCAAACTCCTCCCCGCGCAGCACCAAATCCCCTCCACTTCCGCCCGGTGCAACCTCCCAACCTGGAGGCCCCCGCAGCGCCCCTCAAACCCCCCTAGGTCATCCTCCCACGAGTCAATCGATGTCGAACTCCATGGGACCGGAGAGGCCCCAAAACATTCAGCAGCATCCGCCAGGTTTGGGTCAACCTCTCGCTAGTATGATCGTGGGCAGCAGGGAGGCGGTTAATAGCATGCCTCAGGAGAGGGAGCGGGAGAGAGAAAGGAACGATAGGGATAGAGGGATGCATAATGTTAACAGCGATTCTTTGAGCGGAGTGGGGGGAGATGTCAGGAACGCCTTTGGAGGGTCTTCTAATATTAATATGGGTATGTAACTTATTGTTCAGATATTCTAGATACAAATTTTGATATCATAAAACACAGATTTATAAAATACACAGAACCATATTTTTTCTAAGAGAGACATGCTGAATTCAAATTCAATTCAATTGCTTCATCACATTTTAGGAATTTTTTTAAAAATCCTTTTATCTCTTTGTTTGTTTTTCTTAAAAGATGAAAATCGTTTTATCACTGTTGACTGTGAAATTTATTCATTCTTTGATTTATTATAGTACCATGGTACAAAAAAACAAGGTATGTTCTTCAGTAGGCCGATTTTTGGTTCACTTTGCGCAACACCCAGTTACCGCCATCTTAGTTCATTCCGGCCTTTGAATTTAAATGATATTTTAAATTTAAATATTTATTCTCTTATAAAATTTATCCAAATTTCTATAAAATAATTTAATTTATAAAGTCACAATATTAACATTTCAAAATAGTTATTTATGTATCAAGGCAGTAAAGTCGTATTTTTTATCTCGAATGTGGAAATTATTTGCCGAGGCGAAAGCCACGTGAGTGATAATAAATGACTTAAATGCCGAGGAGCATATTAAGTTTTATCCGAAATCACCTTTAATAATACTAATAATTAATATTGATGATTAAATCAAATGTCATTTGAATGTAGGAAGTGTCTACGTATACCGTTTGTTGCGACGGTTATTATATATTTGCCCGCCGCGGCAATTTTTTAATCTAATTAATAAAATTCACTTATTATTTTTAATAAACAACATGCTGCTTTTTTAAAAATAATATTTAGTTGCTGCTGAGGAGCAGTAGACACATCTTAAAATGTATAATGGGTTGCATACAATACTCGTATTAAATCGGCTGTAAAGTTATACCCTAGTAGCAATTCCGGAAAAGTCTTGGCCCAGCATGGGTCAAGATACTTTGGACAGATTTTTGCTCAAGAATTGTTCCAGATTCTTGGCCAAGATTATTGGGCAAGACTGTGGCCAGAATTTGACCAGAAATCTGAGGCCATCTATTGCTATACTTTGGGACTATCCTATAGAGTAGAGGTTCTAATTCTACAGTAGTATCATTCACAATAATGTATACTAGTCGAGAAGTGAGTTCTCTGTAGGAAATGAGTATAGTTTTTTTGTTTATGTGAAAATACGAATAAGACCTTATTGGATTCGTCTTCTAGCTGAGAAAAAAATTGATTTTTAAAAAAATAAAAAATTGTTATTTCTAAAAATCAAAAATTAAAAAAAAAGTGTGTGTCAGCTCTGACGCATAACTAGGGTTTACTCTTTATGAAAGATTATAAAATACATGTTTATTTTTACGGGCACCTGGTTTTTTTTAACATAGAAAATTAAAAACTTTAACTCTTTCAAAATTTGTTTCGTTTTTAATTCTATTGTTTACCAGATTTATGGATAAAAAACGAATTTACTGGAAAGAAATCGTGGAAAATTAATGTTTTTAGTAACATTCTTAACTTTTGAAGTTCAACAAAATTTTATATTGACCAAAAATCTTGAATTGAAAGTTCCTATTTAACGTGTAATCGTGTAAAAATTCTTGGCCAAGAATCTGGTCAAATTCTGGTCACAGACTTGTCCAAGTCTGCCACCAGTCTGGATAAAGAATTTTGATCAAGAGTCTTGGTCAAGAATTGTCCAATTCTTTACAAAGTGCTTCTCCAAGTATCTTGACAAAGAATCTTGTCCAATTCCATTGCTACTAGGGTACTTTACTGCCGATTGTTGACTACTTTACTGCCGATTTCGGATAAAAATAAATATACGAGAGATAATGCGGGCTATTATTCACAAGGATGAGACGAGATACTCAAATCACAGTGAATATTGAAATCGGCCAATCACTTATGCCTAACAACGTGAATAAATAGTTTATTATTCACGTTTTTATGCAGGGAATTTATGTTTATCAATATTCTAGGAAAAAACCCAAAATTATGCCATAGGAGTAGATAAAATATTGTTTTAAAGTAAATAATATATTTACTAAATACCAAATTAATTAAATTAAAAAAGTGCTAAGAAAAATTAATTAATTTTAGGTTGTAGGTGAAATGGATGTTTAAATAAAATTTCTTGTTTTAAAGCCATTTATAAAAAATATCCTGTTTTAAAGCAAATATAAATAATCAAATGAAAAGTGTCGTTATAACATTAGCATGGCAAAAAAAATGCTAACAATATATTTTTTCTAAATTAATTTATTACAAAATTGTATTTACAAATAATTGGGTTTAGGTTTAGTTGCCAAATAAAAACCCTAAGTTGGCCACCAGGGAGCCAACATTGAATAAAACAAACTAAACTTGTGAAAAATATTATATTATGGTGTGGTATAAGCTGGTTTTATAATGCTTGGGGGGATGTTTCAATCCCGGGCTATTTTATTATTAGCAGTTTGAGTTCCTGTTATGGGCTGACCTTGAAGATCAAAAGCTTCCTTGACTTGGCACATTTCCTGCACAATGCAAAAAGAAAGATTTAATTTTAATTAATTTTGTTTTAATTTCTTACAATGTATTTAAGTGTAAAGTTGGAACCGTATCCACTTTTAAAGACTTTTTTATGGGAATGTAGTTGGTATGTTTTTTCAATCCAATTACTCTTCTGATAAAAACTATCTTCGAAGTAAATGAAACAAATACAAGCTACAAAACAAACAAAAATATTAACCTAAATTATTTTTTTATTTATATATCTGTCACAGATATTTTTTGTTATCTATGGTGTATACAAAAGGAAAGTACCTCTAAAAAAACTACAGCTATTTTATTGTTTTTAATATTAATCTACTTACTATCCTTAACATCAATTTTTTAAGCCAATACTTATAAGGAAATGTATTGGATTTCCAGTTTTTTTCTTTTGGCATTTTTTTTTAAGATTTTCACTTAGCAGGTAAACATTTTTTACACTCACAAAACTTTAAAATAGCTTAAAAAACAACTCCCACCTCTTCGCCAATCTTAAGGAGTGGTGGAAACAGATGTGCAAGAACATACCTTGTTTTTTTGTACCATGGTAGGTACTTATAAGTTTTGAGGCAAACTATTTCTTTAGGTTCAAATGGTAACGGCACTCCAGGATCTGCTGGAAGGTCCCTAAGGAACGACTTACTGGTGGCTGCAGATTCGGTGACAAACGCAATGTCTACTTTAGTGAGAGAATTGAATTCAGGTAATTCCTAAACTATATAAATACTTATACATAAAATGTAAAGCTTTACCTAATAGTATTTTAAATAAGGTGCGATTTATATATTTTTTTAGCCATTTTATTTTTTGTATTGTTTATACAATTGTTTTTAGATTTTTTGTACATTTCTTCAGTAGCTTATTATGTTTTTAATTCTTATTACTTTGTACTTAAGTCACTTTCTGTACAAAATCTGTGAATACATGACTGAGAATGAGTTTTTCTTCGAAATACTTTATTACTGGCATGGTGTATGCCTTGGCAGCTAGCATGGAAGAATCTTTCTTACATCACACAAACTTATACTCCAATTGTGATTTTGTTGATTTGTAATTATATTTACATTAAAATTTTATTGATGTTATTAAATTTTTCTGCAATTGTTTTAGTTTTAGGATAACTTAAATTTAAAACATAGTGTTGTTAGTTGTTAATATTTAAATAAAAGATATTTTATTTCTTTTTGTTTGTTTTTATTTTATTATTTGCGTTTTTAGTTTTCAGGATTTATTTGAATGCGTTATATTTTTATTTTATTTTGCGGGTTTGAATAAGTTTGATATACTTAATAAAGTCGATTATTTTGAGGATTTTATGAACAAATACAGATATTTGCATAAATCCCAGACTAGAGGGATATTGTGGTAGATGTGTTTGTGGAATGTTGCCTGTTGTATGACTGTTACATTGCAGAACATTCGAAACCCCCAGAAGCTAGTACTATCAGAAAACCTCTTGGTGAGTAGTTAATTGTAAAAAAAATCACTTTTCTCTAGCTACTGCACAAACGTTACTATTGCCAGATTTTAATAAAACTAAATTTAATTTACTGAATATTAATTAATGTTGATTTTGTAAATTACAACTTAAACTGGGATGCAATTGATGGTCAGATTTTATGTTTATTCAGAAAATAATTTTATGTGTTAACCCTAGAGTGATATTTTCAATTAGATAAAAAATAACACAAGAATTTTTATTCTGCGAATTAATACCTAGATATAATTTTTATTCCGAACTGATATTTTTAATTTAGTGAATTTAAAATATCTGTTTCTTTATTTGTATTTTTTTGTTAAACACACATTCGCTTAATTAAAAATTAGATTTAATTTTTATGCCAAACTAATATTTTTTATTTAGTTAACTTAAAATATTTGATTCTTATATTTGTGTTTTTTTGCTAAACACATATTTTTAATTCGATAAATTGAAAATATCAAAGGAGATATTTTTAATTCCATTTAATTTTTATTTTATTTATTAAGCAGATATTTTTACGTACGTTGTAGATCCCAGTGATTGTGCCGCCATCTAGCGACAGAATTAGTTTGGAATACCAGGGGTGTCCAAACTTTCAATCTGAATTAAAAATATCACATTAGTTAAAAATATCTGCTTATTTAATAAAATAAAAATTAAATCGAATTAAAAATAGGTATTTGTTTAACAAAAAAATACAAATATAAGAAGCAAATGTTTTAAATTCATTAAATTAAAAATATCAGTTCGGCATAAAAATTAAATCTAATTTTTAACTAAGCAAATTAAAAATGTGTTTAACTAAAAATACAAATATAAGAAACAGATATTTTTAATTCTAATCTAATTTTTTATCTAGGTAATTGAAAATATCACATAAACATAACACATAAGAATAATTCCTGAATAAAAAAGTATCTGTTTAAGAAACATACATGACTTAATTTTAAATTAATTATTAATTTACACCAAAAGTGTATTTTCTTAATATTGTCAAATAAGTCAAATTTGTACAAAGTTTTTAAAGACAAAATTGGTTGTTTGCATAGAAGTTATTTTGTTATTAAGGGCATTTTTTGTTTAGGGTTATTTTATCAAATTGCAATTTTTTGAAATCGATTTTTTCGTTAAAAACGTTTTTTAAGACAAAAAACACATTTTTACGATAAAATTAAAGGTGATTTTAAAAAATTACCAACAATACCTACTCAATACGACTTTAAAACTCATTTTTACAATAAAACTTTAATTACAACATGTTTATTAGACTGGTTCAAAAAAATTGAATATTTTTTTTCTTCAAAGCCCGCATTGAAATATCTTCCTAGTAGTGAAAAAAGAAGCCTGTGAAAATTGTAGCTCTTAATATTAATATTTCGAGGTCGGTCACCGTGAATTTCTATTTTACGTTTAACACAGGAATTTTTTTTCTTAACTTTGAAATTTTATAACTCGTTTTTGAGTGAACATATTGGAATAAGCAACACATATTTTTAAAGAAAATTGAACGCTCTACAAAAAATGTCTCTTATAATTTTTTCATAAATTCACTTCTTTTATAGTTATTCAAGGTTGAAATTAGACATATAATAAATTTAACGTTTTTTTTCAATTGGTGGCATAATAATAAACCTTATCACTCATTATTGTGCAGGATGGTCCAGTTTGTAATACATTAATTTTAATAGGTGATAAAGCATCACAAATAAGGTACACTTTCATAAAAAACATTTCTAAAAAATGTTTCCTAAGAGAAATACAGGCCGTCAAAGTTTACAAAAAAAATAGTTTTCTCTTCATAACTTTTAAACCACAAAATTAATTTGGCACACAATGTAATATAGTCAGTGCCTTAATAATGATGTAGATAATTATTTAAAAAAAACATCAGTTCCGCAGTTACTTGGGGGGCTGCTCCCCTTTTCACCTCAGTCTTTGACGCCACTGGAAATGTTTAGGTCAAGTTTTTAATTAAGGGAAAAAATTTGCTCTTGTAAAATTTTGATTTGGGGCTTCGTTTCTAAAATATTTGCTCAAAAATGTTTCCTCGCAAAATTACATTTTTAGATTGTCTGTTCAATTTAGCACAGTAGTTTTTTTATCTATAAAAAAACTACTGTGCTAAAATTTTAATTTAGGGCTTCGTTTTTGAAATATTTGGGAACACACTCCAAAAAAACTGCGGCAAAAGTATTCTTGGATAAATAAATAAATTATTTAAAAAATGAAGCACTAAATCAAAATTTTACATGAGTAGTTTTTTTCTCTAAATTTATCAGATAATCTAAAAATGTGTTTATTATTAAAAAAAATTCCAGTGGCGCCTAAGGTGAAAAGAGGAGCAGCCCCCCAAGTAACTGCGCCACTGATGTTTTTTTTAAATAATTATCTACATCATTACTAAGGCACTGACTATATTACATTGTGTGCCAAATTAATTTTGTGGTTTAAAAGTTATGAAGAGAAAACTATTTTTTTTTGTAAACTTTGACGGCCTGTATTTCTCTTAGGAAACATTTTTAAGAAATGTTTTTTATGAAAGTCTACCTTATTTTTGATGCTTTACCACCTATTAAAATTAATGTATTACAAACTGGACCATCCTGTACAATAATGAGTGATAAGGTTTTTTATTATGCCACCAATTGAAAAAAAAAACGTTAAATTTATTATACCTATGTCTAATTTCAACCTTGAATAACTATAAAAGAAGTGAATTATGAAAAAATTATACATTTTTTGTAGAGCGTTCAATTTTCTTTAAAAATATGTGTCGCTTATTCCAATATGTTCACTCAAAAACGAGTTATAAAATTTCAAAGTTAAGAAACAAGAACTCCTGTGTTATTTAAACGTAAAATAGAAATTAACGATGAGCGACCTCTAAATATTAATATTAAGAGCTACAATTTTCACAGGCTTCTTTTTTCACTACTAGGAAGATATTTTAATGCGGGCTTTGAAGAAGAAAAAATATTCGATTTTTTTAACCAGTCTAATGTTTATATACATATCCAAACATGTAAAATTGAGATTAAAAAAGAGATGGTGAAAATATTTCCGACAATACATACATATATTATTTTATATATACGTATTTTCGGTGATTTTTTAATCTTAATTTTATCGTCCTAAAAACCGTTTATAACGCGAATCCATTCATAAAATTACTTTTGTGTTAAACAAAATGTGTGCAAGTGTAATAAATTGGCCATGGACTGTAAAATTTTTCAATATAATTATTATTTTTACTTTCATTTTAAAATGCTTTGACCATCAATTGAACATCCGTTTTACATAAAATAAAATATGTAAAAACAAAAAAGACAAAGCTAAAAATTACTTTACCACAAAAACCATAAACTAACCCAACAAAATTCCTTTAGACTTCGAAGACGACGGAGAGGAAGAATCGGACGGAGGTTGGCAGCAAGAACTACAACGGAGGTACGCGCAAGAAGCCAACTTCATGGCGGAGCTGCGCGCCCGACATCCGGTCAGTCCGCCGGAAAACCACCAGATGGTAGGCAACCCGCACTTCCCCGGCCATCCGGCCCACCCGGGCCAGCAGAACTTCAACCACAACATGCACTTCGCCGGCCAGAATAACGTGGCCAATTTCCCCGGGCCTCAGAACTACCCCAATTATAATCAGCCAGGTCCTAATCAGGGTCCGTTTGGGCCTCAGGTGGGTGCACCACACAGATAATGCAAATCACTGTTCACTCAGCACACCTAGCTCTCAGCTTTTATAGAGGTTAGTTTTTTGCTTTTTTGTTTTATTTTCGGTTTATATTGTTGCTACCTATGTACTACATACACGCGCGAGCCCGATTTCACAGGATTTTGGTTGTTTTTTAAAATAAGAACTTCAAGTACCTATAAGAACATATACAGGGTGCTCCCAGTATCCTTCTATGGGTATTTTTATTATCAGGCCGGTTATATGACAACAAAGTTGCGTCATAACAAGCCTTTTAAAATTAAATTCATAAGTTAAAAACCAAAAATCTGACAAGGTTTTTTCAGGTTTCAAGTTTTTGTTATTGGATGATTTTTTTTCAAATTTTTAATTCCATTTTAATAGACTTGTTATTACGCAACTTTCCTCTAATTTAACCAACATTGTAGTTCAAATAAAAAAGATACCCATACATAGAAGGATACTTGGTGCACCCTGTATATTGTATGATTACAAAATTGTAATTATCTTTAATCGTTTTATAATTTAAACGTTGTTTTTATCAATACCCGTTTCTAAAGTGATTGATTATGCCTTAGGAGCATTTAGACCAACCAATTTACCATAGATCTACCTAACCTCATTTTCTACTTTTAATAATTATTTTTATTATTGTACGTTTGTATGTTTAACAAATAAATTGTGCCCTGAAGATAAAATTTTGTATGCCATTCTGTCATTTTGTACTTTGCTTAATTTCACCACAAAAAGACTTAGTCCTTGACCTAATAAAATAAATAACTAATTCTTGAAACAAAACCCACTTGAAACAATTTTCAGTAAATCGCGAAAATGTCCTGCTAGATATGTCTTAAATAGTTTTAAAAACGGTATGGGTAGGTCAGAGAACATAAATTAAATTTAAAATTATTTTTGATGCATAAAATTTTATTAGTAAAAGAAATTTGTTTGATCACTCGTCATTTATTTAAGTATACTTATGCTCCCAGGGGCTTAAACAAAATATGTGAGCTCTTTTTATCAACTTTAAGATGGTCCGCTTTGTGATCGAAATTTTCTTATCTGTTTAAAATTCTATAAGTCGTTGACAAATATATCGACAGTAATGGAAAATTGTATGCATAAAATTCGTAAATGAAAGTATTCATATGTCAATTAACATTTAATATAACATGTTTATAAGTTGCAAAATAAAAACTGTTTTGTTCTCCCCAAGTAAAAACTCACCTACTTTTTATACCTACATCTTCTTGAGAAGAACTATTGGGTAAAATAAGTTTTACAAATGTTATAAATTTCATAATAAAAAAAGCAAAAATGACCAAATAATATTACAAAAATAGAGCAGCAACAAATAGCCTTAAGGCTATTTAGAAATATTTTCATTTTAAATAACACAAAATTTACTTTTAATTGGGGCCGTCCATAAATCTCTTGATCGTGACAGAATGTGACGATATATACTGTAGGGAGGTCAAAATTCAAAGATATTTAATTTTAAAGTTTTGGAGCATCCCATTAGGAAACACCCTGTATAAATTTAAAAAAATATTGATTGGGCTGAACGCCCAGATCCAAATTTAAAAAAAAAACAAATTCTTGCAAAATTTGATGTTAATTGATCAAAAGGAACATGTGTCCCTGAGGTTTTTTTTAGTTAATTTAGTAAATTCAAAATGTTTTTTGCTGATTTTTTTTATTGAATATAATTGAGGTTATTATATATTAAACAAAATAAAAAGCATGGGAATGTTGCACAAGAGGTTAAATATATTATTTTACAAATTATAATATACCACCCAACTAGCAAAATAAATCCCTTAAAGAACTGAATTGTTTTATAACTATCGTATAGAGCTGCAAAAAGAACATTTTTATTGTTTAATGCGTCTTAATACAATAATTTTATCGTAAAAACGACGAAATTCTAATACATTATTGTATATATATTCTTACAACTCGTGTTATAGAACCAAACTCATACACATTTTTTAACCATTGTATAACGTTTTATACAATCCCTTATAAAATTATTTTAAAAGAGTTGTATAAAAGTTATAATAGAGTTGTATACCTATTCTTATACTTGTAGTTTCAACGTTTTATGATAGTTGTAATAGAATTTGTATAAAAGTTGTATTGAAGCTCTATAAGATACATTAAAAAATTGTTTTTTTAAGCAGAAGTAAACACACTACACAATAAGTATAAAGTTATTTTATAATTATCCTATAACTACACCGATTAACTTCTTTATAGAAAGTTTATAAAATAAAATTATCGCAAGTTCTGCGTTATAATTTTATTACTTAAGTCTGTTTATACATTTAGTGTCTTATTACGCCAAAATAAGTTAAGTATTTTTTTTTAAATGGAGTCGCAATGGAAAAAAATTAAGAAAAGTGGGCATTTTAAAAGAAGAGAAAAAAAAATTTATCAGAGAATGGAAGTACTGCCGCAATAGAAAATTCTATTCAACATTTAGTTGAGGCACCAACTCCAAATTCTTTTACAATCGATAGCTACGAAGATAATTTAGTGCGGTACAATTCATACCTTAAGCGATATTATTGTTCTATTGCGCAGTAGGCAAAGGCGTTATAGCCAATACGAAAAATGAACTTACAGGGTTGTTATTTTAGGCAGCAGTGTTACCTACAAATCCTTATTTGCATAAAAAATGAAGGTAACGTCGTGCAGGATAAATAAAATTTTACTTGATGTACCTAACTGCACCAAAAATGAGTATTTTATTCTAAAAAAAAACAAATAATTTGAAAAATACAGATAAAATCTGGCAACATCTCAAATGTCAGTTTCTTGCTTTACTTTTATAGCGCCTGCAGGCGCTATAAAAGTAAAGTTGTTTAATACATGTATTAAACAACTTTATGCACGATGACATTATAATATGACAATTATAACAAAAATTCTTTGACGTAAACGTCTTTTTATAGCCCGCGGGCGTTATTATGGCCCAGCGGGCTATAATGAAACGTCAAAAATTAAAAACAACAATGTTACACCATTTGATATATTCGAAGTAAGTTTTTTCGTATAAAGATTTTGATTTTACCTGCAGCAGGCCGCAATTTTTCGCCTTTTCAGCTGCTTCCTCAATTTCATTTATCTTTAAACTTTAAAACTGACTGATGTCAGTTGACATTATAATATGACAATTATAACAAAAATTCTTTGACGTAAACGTCTTTAAAAACAATAATATATTAAAAATAATAATATATTAATCGTGCATAAAGTTTTGTATGCATTGCTGGCATAACTGGTTTTTATGGTCCTACGACGCTTTTCTAGCCGAAATAGCGCCTCGGACCATAAAAACCTTATTATGCCCTTAATACATAAATAACTATTATGCACGATGACATTATAATATGACAATTATAACAAAAATTCTTTGACGTAAACGTCTTTTTATAGCCCGCGGGCGTTATTATGACCCAGCGGGCTATAATGAAACGTCAAAAATTAAAAACAACAATGTTACACCATTTGATATATTCGAAGTAAGTTTTTTCGTATAAAGATTTTGATTTTTCCGGCAGCAGGCCGCAATTTTTCGCCTTTTCAGCTGCTTCCTCAATTTCATTCATCTTTAAACTTTAAAACTGACTGATGTGAGTTGACATTATAATATGACAATTATAACAAAAATTCTTTGACGTAAACGTCTTTAAAAACAATAATATATTAAAAATATTAAAATATAAAACGTGCATAAAGTTTTGTATGCATTGCTGGCATAACTGGTTTTTATGGTCCTACGACGCTTTTCTAGCCCTCGCGCTAACGCGCTCGGGCTCGAAATAGCGCCTCGGACCATAAAAACCTTATTATGCCCTTAATACATAAATAACTATTACAGAACCTAAATATCGTATAACGCACGCGACAGAGCAGATAAATTGTATAACGTTTTTATAAAGACAAAACCATTTTATAACAAAAACGCCATATTTATTGACCGATCAATTGTTTATAAATCGCCGCCATTGTGTGCATTTTACCAACAAACGTTAAAACTGTCAATTAAAAATGATTTTTCTTGAAAAAAATTAATGTAATCTTAAGACTAGTCAATTATAAACTGAACAAATAAAACAATAATATTCTTAAAAAACATGAAACTTTGTCAAATAAAAAATTATTTTTTTTTTTTTTTAATAATTTTTAGTAGGTATGTTTGTTAACTGGCGCTTTAATTTTTCGTTAAAAATATATACATATATTGTCAGAAAAGATTGTTCCGCAGGAAGATGTTGTCCTCGATAGAGTAAATCTCAAAGGTTTAATAATTATATTTACATAATAAACAACAAGCACCATTTTGGATCTTAGCCGTTTGACATCCAACATAATTCGCATTATAAAATAGTCTTAGGATAAAAATTTCCCACTCCATTCCTAATTTCTAGAGAAGGAAACAAATTGATGTTCTTATAACGATTCTGTCGCATTATAACATACTTATAAAATGCTTGTTTTAATATTCTATAAATATTCGTAAAGTGCAATTAAGCTGCAGAGTAAAACCGCTATAGTATAATCGTATAGCAGTTCCCCAGTATACTGATACTGAGTTTTATAAGGGTTGTGTAGTGTATTTATATAACTGCTAACGAAGTAAACTGTTTTATAAAACGGGGCCCTTTTTGGTTGAGTAAGTGTTGTATAGTAGTTTTTAAACGCATTATACAATTTTAGCGTTTCTATAATATGTGTTGTATAGCAGTTCTAACAACACTTACATAATCAATTTTGTTAGCTGGGCAGTATACAGTGTACAATAGGAAAAACTTTTTTAGACCTGATACAGCTAAACCGTGCCCGGATTTGGAATCTTCAACTAAAAATTAGGTTTACGTGTCCGACAGTTTAGCTGCAGTGTTATCAAACTTCCCTACCCCCTAAAAATATTGTTTTTTTTTGGAAATTATCTTACTAATAAAAGAACAAATAATTTCATTCGATTTACTTTGTCACGTAACGTTTTAAAAAACCCTTTGGCGTGACAAATCGTGACGGTTCTTCAAAAGAGATTTATGGACAGCCCCACTTGTAACATGTTTAATTTTAATATTAATTTTAGTTGCTTGATGTCTAGTCCTAGTATTGTTATAGAAACATAAATCTAAATGGACGTAAACATATTTTTTCTAAATTGGTATTTTAGCAAGGTAAATTTGAAAAAAATCTCAAACCAGCTGCAGGAGAACCTGCAAAAAACAACGAGCAAATAGAAGAGGCCAGTGAATCCCAGGAGATGAAAGTTAGGAACAAGGAAACCCTCCAGTTCGAGGAAGCACTCAAACAGTGGGTTAACTGATAAAACGCTAAATAAATAAGTAATTGTACTTAACCTACATGTTTATACGACACTGAAATTTGTGAATAATTTGGACTAATTATTTAATATTTAGAAGTCATAATCATCGCAAATTTTAATTTTGGTAACCTTCAGATATGTAGTAAATTAAATTAATTAAAGGCACCACTAAGTTTTAAATTGTAAATAACTGGTAATTTAAACTTAAATAGAACAATACCATCCATGGGCACTTTTATTATAATTACATATCATTAAAAGCTTTCAGATTATTTAAATAATGAAAATAAAATGCATGTATATATAAGTTCATGAAAAATGTGTCTACAAAGTCTATAATAATTGGTAATGTAACCATCTGTTAAATAGCAATGAAATTATCAAAAACTCCTCAGGTTGTTCTAATTGGGACTGTAAATTTACAGCATGAAGTGTAAATATTCCATTAATATAGAATTGTAGACTTGGATACAATCATCAAATCATATACTATACATACTATAATAGGTTGTCTAAATTTTGGGTGAGACCAAAATTAAATAAGCATTGTGTATGTTTAAAAAATATAACCCCTTACTAGCAAAACACTTTTGGAATTGGAATTATTAATTTCAACTCAATGTGTGATGAGTAAATTGATTTAAGGCTTATTCTAGTTGGACCAATATAATTACTCCTAACCTAATCTGTAATTATATAGCTAACTTGCTTACAACATACAATATAATGACTTTCGTACTTTTACTAACCAACCCTTTATACCATTATATAAAAAACTAAATAAATATAGGTAAAAATATAATCAATATAAAAAGCATTGCTATTAAGTAGTCAATCATCAACTAGGTAGAACTGAATTGTGTTTGTTGGCCATAGACTTTTATTTTCAGATGTAGTCTGTATAAATGATGTCTCAAAAGTCGCGGACCACCTTGAAGGTATATATTTACAAATAGGAATCCCACAGAAAATTTCATCTATATTATTTAAAAAAATATGAGCTTCAACATTGGGTTTTTAAACTTAAAAATAATGATTTTACCTTGTTTATATTTTTTCAAGTATTATTACATAGATAAGGCCTAATGTACATAATGTTTAAACAATGGTTTTATTAGGTATTAATGAGAAAATGCATTTTAGGGTTTTTACTTTAAAAATTTTCAAGGTAGTGCATGGCTTTTGGGACACCCTGTATTGATTTCATATTGTTAAAGAAAAAGATTTATTACTAGATATTATGTACAAAATACCTTCTTTGACTGAGATTAGTCATAGTTAAAGAATTGTTAAAGTTTTACATGTTATACTGTAGTTCTTAAATAAATAATTTAAACGGAAAAACTTGTTTTACTTACTTAACGTTTATTAAAATAAAATTCATGTATTTAACATTTATTTCCTCTTAAACTTTTTTCCTTTCTTGCCTTCATTCTTAAACTTTGGCAATTTGATAACTCCATCTTTTCTCTCCAGTTGCTTTTTGTTGCCTTTATACAACTTTACAAACCTGCTTTTTTGCTTTGAATAAGTTTCTACGGCTGCTTTCATAACGTCAACTGCTTTCTCATTTTGGTCAGTTACCTCCATTGGTAGTACCAACTCCCCAGTTGCTAGGGGGTATTTTCCACTGAAACCTTTGGGGAAAACGGGTTTTGATAGCATGGATGCCAAATGTTTCCGTTTGATTTCGGCGAGTTTTTTGCTTTTTTGGGCTTCTTTGGTGTCGTACCGTTTTGCCCTAAGATTCAAAAAATAACTTAAACGTAATACATACCTATCATTTACAATGTAATACATACATATCATCTACAATGATATCCATTTCTTCAGCAGCTTTTTCTAGCCAGCCTGTCTCAGATGTTGCCTTTTTAACTTGTAACTGCAACTTATCTAGTTCTCTTGCCAAATTTACCCTCTGTTTTACTGCATTTAGGTAATTTTCTTGTACTGGAAATATTGGTAAATCTTCATCTAAAATAATTAAAGCAACCTTAACACAAATGTTAAAAAACCTTAAAGAAATACGCTCGAAAACAATGAACAAAGTAAGCTATTCTCACATAACAAAATATGTTCTAAAAAATGTTGTCAGGCCGTTTGGAGAAGAATATTTATAAATGAAAGGTTGATGAAATGTTGTATGAACATTCATAAATATCACGTAAATATTTTTTAACATTTATTACGCAATTTTATGTAAATATTATTTCCTAAATATTGTTAAGTTATAAAACAATATTTATAAACTTTTTGAAAAGTTCATTACAAGTTTTCTGATGTAAGCGCCCTCTTGATAAAAATGTATCTGTTGTCTGAGGCTCAGCCGCTAAAGTCATCAAAAAATCAGCGTCAGTTCGGCCATTTTTACTTTATTAAGTCTGCATCATCTGAAGTTAAAATAATAAATTATCTAGATAATCCTTCCTGCTAGACCTCTATAGAGTAGCACAACGTAACGAAATCTTGACGTAAACGAGACGTTTTCAGACAGTCGTGACTTGGACGTTATTTAAAAATCGTAACGTTTTCAATTAAAAACAGTTGCCAAACCGCGCTAAATTTAAGCATAGTTTTTGTGACGAATACGTTACATTAATATGAATAAAAATCTTCACGATGTAGTTAAGAATACGCCACGGATTCTTCACGATGATTTGTCACGGTTTCGTCACGACGCTTCGTTACCGAATAGTGAACTGAACTGGTCACGTAATTGTGGCGTATAGTTGCATTATTTGGGGGTGTAATAATATTGTGTAGTGTAATGCAGTGCAGTACGGTATAGTGGGTTGTTTTGTGTATTGTGGAATTATTGCTTACCTTCAAAGTTTTTTAATTTGATTTTAACCTTATTATCAGGTTGAAATCAAATTACAAAACTTTGAAGGTAAGCAATAATTCCACAATACACAGAACAACCCACTATACTGTACTGCACTGCATTACACTACACAATATTATTACACCCCCAAATAATAACATATTGTTGTTAGGATTGTTTAGTTTTGCAATGTTAATGCAAAGAAAGCACATTTAACTGAATTATATTTTATTAGAAAAACAATAAAAACATATTCTACAATAAACTATAATATATATTATATAGAAAAACACTAACAAAATAAAAAAATATTACTCTTATACAATAAAAATACCTCCACTTTTGAAAACCAGCAATAATTGCAATTAGTTTTCAAATTTCATATCTTTGAAAAAAAAAATTAAATTATTTTTCTATTTTAAGGATAAAACAGTACACAAAAATATAATTCTCCTGTAGAATAAAACACTATTTTATTAGAATATACCTAATATAAAAAACAGTAAAACAAAATAAACAAGTATTTCTCTTATAAATTAAAAAATGAAATGAATGAAGTCAATTAATAATTTATGTAGTATAAAATTTTTATTTTATTTCTGCAGTTTCTTTAACTGCAACATTTATTTATAATAAACTTACTTAAATAACACTAGGGTTCAGCTGAAGTACAAACCTGTGATTTCATCTTATCATATGTATTATGCTTAATGTGCATAATGTGCTTTTCAACGTCATCCTTTGTAATATTTCTTTCCCCCGAGACAACCCAAGACAATTGTGTTTGCCATCAATATGTCTTTTAGTCTAAAGTTTTCGTTCGCCCCTATCCAGATGTGTGGAGTGTGTCCAGAGTGTCGACTGTAAAACAGTGTATGTTATGTTGGTTACCAATTTTTTAATTTTAATTGACCTGCAAAATGAGAAGAAATAAGTAGTTTTCTCCATGGCTTTGTTAAATTTTATTTCACGTAAAAAAAATGTATTTTTTCCTCTTTCAGTAGAAATTCAACTTAAAATACTTAAGCTATAACAATAAATTTGTTATATATATATATTAACACACTAAAAATGTTGTGGTTACTTATATTTTGTTGTAGATTAGTGTGTAGTTGTTTAGCATTGCAGACAATTGTCTTAAGCTACTGAAATATAGAAAAGCAAAAGTACTTACGGTTTTAAACTATCCTTTTGTTTACTATTAAAAACTTTGCAGAAATATAGAAAAACCTACAGAAACCAATGGCTTGGGTCGTTACCAATCATTCAAAATGGAGATCCTACTGGAGATGCACAGAACATATGACTATTGGCGACTGCGCATTGGTGTCACGACTTTACGTGATGTTTTCGTGACGATTTGTTTAAATATTTTGTAACGTTTTTGTAACGAGCTGCACGTCAAGAATTTTATACCAAAATTTAAAGTAAAATTATCACTATTTCGTGTGACTAACGACTTTATGAAAAAATTCGTCACGTATTTTCATAGACCCCTCGTCACGAATTTGGCGTCACGCAATTTAATTACTTTTTATTAAAATTTCCTTAATCGTAACGAAATATTGTCTCGTTTTCGTCACTTCCAATTTTTAATGTCACGTTGTGCTACCTGGGTAGGTACCTACCAGGGCCATATTACCCATTAGGCAGGCAAGGCAATTGCCTTAGGCGCCACAAAAAAAATAGGCGCATTGTCCCAAACCAACTTAAAAAAATTGTTACCAAATGGTTTATTTTTACAAAAAATAAAGCAAATAAACTATATACAATTATGAGAACGGTAGAGCGCCGAATATTCTTTACTGTTTTTATTATTTTATAAAACAGCGGATTCCTTTGTTATAACGCGGTGTAATGCCTTACATAAAACTACAGGGAATTAAAGCTGTTTTACATTTTTTAAATACTTACTACCCAAGTAGCACCATTGGTTAAATTAACGTTATTTTGTAATAAGTGGGGAATTTAATTATGGTAAAATAGTTAAACTTAACTTCTTGGTTAACTTTGGTTAAAAAGAAGTTAGTATTTGATAGTTTTTGGTTTATTTTACCCTTTTTTAACTACTTTTTAACTCTTAAGTCAATTTAAGTTTATTAAAACCACCTATATTATATATATATAATTATAATTTACCAAATATGGTTATTTACTCTTGAAATGAAATAGTAAAAATTCTACTATTTCAATTAGTATCAGCATTGTTTACTAATTAAATAGTCGTTTTTACTTTTAAATATTTATTTTTTACTATAGTATACTTAATTTGTTAAAGTTTGACTAATTTAAGATAAGTCGCCATATTTTACTGTTACTGAGAGTAATAAGTAACTGATTTCTTTAATCGTTTTTAATTCTTGCGGCGTTAAATGCATATAGGCTCCATGGTCCATAAAAATAAAGATGCAAAAAGTTTAGCTCCAACACAAAAAATATATTCAACTTTAACAATAATATTAACAATATTTATTGACAGATATCAAAAATTTAATAAGTAGCAGTGGTGCGTCTACTAATTTGACTGTTTCATTCCGTAGAATTTGACTAATTATAATTAGTGACTGCTAATAATTATTAGTGACTGCTTTGTCGCTATGAAAATAATTCAAATATGACTTATAATTAGTTATTTTTAACTTATTCATTTTAAGAGAGTATATCTATAGATATTACTTACAGACTAAATCAAAATATGTCTAAAAAAATAACTCGTCTTAAAAAATATTATTTATGTTTTATATGTATTTTTTTAATAAAAAATATTTTAATTTATAAGGGATAATAAGGTTAGTATGCCCGGGCGCCCTTAAGCTACCAGATTGTATAGTATAAGTATAGTATCTAGTAATAGGCGCCAAATTTTTAAGTGCCTAAGGCGCTGGATTGCCTTAAGCCGGCCCTGGTACCTACATATATGTATTATATTTATTTTTATTGTTTGGATTATTATTGCTATTTATGAATGGAAGTGTACAGAACCGCAGCGGTAACTTAAAATTTTATTGCCACCCTATTGAAGACGATTATTCTATCGGTAAATTTCGAATTAACAAAAAATAAACATAAACCTAATAAAATCGCTTAGAAAACCAAAAATATTATTGTTTTTTTAATTTTTAAAAACAAAAAAAGTAATTTCCCCGAGCTGGATTGAACCGAAGACTTGAAATTAAATTAGTTTTAGCCTCCATCCGAAAAAATCCAAAAACCAAAACTGCGACGGAAAATGACATTTTACCGGAGTTACGACAATGGCTGGCCCAAGCTAAATTTAGAAAAAGAAAGAAACTTAAAAAGAAAAACTAAGATTGTAGAAAGAAAAATATTCTTTTATTTCTGCACCTTTTTCCAAAGAATTTTTGTTTTACATAATTCACTTTTATTTATATCGATTGTTAGGAGATATACTATTTTTTGTTAAATATTTTTTATTAAGACGTGTACCACGGTGCTGTTCTGAGAAGTGATTTTCAGACTTTCTAAGAAACTTTTTTTTTTGTAAAATTCTATTTATTTATAATGTAAGTAAGAATTTAACAGCAAAATTTAAAAAATCCCACGGTTAGTTTTTTTTTAATTTTTTTATTAAGAATATTGTGCCCTATTTTAATTATCCACTTAAAACTTTCGATTTTATTTATATATTGACAAAACGTTGGAATTTTATTAAAGATTATTTAATTTTCATAAAAATAAATTATAATTTTTTATATTATTGACCATTTTCTTATAATATGTGATTAAGGATATTATATATTATACTTAAAATTAAAAGTTTATTATACTTACAATTAAAAGTTTATTTTAAGCTAGCCATGAAATTTTAACTTGGATGTATTTATTTGACATTTAAGTTGTCATCTTATGTTCTGTGGTTGTCATATACCTGCTATATAAGTTTTATTAATCAAATAAATACAATTATTTTTAAACTAAAATATTTTTAAACTTTAAAAAAAAAATTATAAAAGGCTCTGGATGGTCTTTTAATGGCAATGAAAGTCTTAAATTATTAAAAAATATTGACTATCTTAGAATCATTTCTTCCCTGGAATGTTAGAAATTTGTAAAATGTTTTTCAAGTTTGGAAAAAGTTGTTAATATGTGTTTTAGTAATAAAATAAATAAGAACTATTTAGACCAAATAAATAATTTTGTGATAGATTTTGTTGATTTATAAATTAGGATAACTCCAAAATTTCATGCCATTATTTATCATCACGGTACCGGTACAAGTTGAATAAAGAACACCCAGAATATCCAAAACATTTAGTTGCTGCCATCAGAATATAATGCATAATTGCATTTATAATTTAATTTTTTTTGTTGAATAAAAAGTTTTTTTTGAATTGTTTTAATTGAAATTAGTTAAGATTTTAGTTATTAGGTTTTTTTCGTGAATTTATACATAACTGCTATGATTATTGCTTATTTTGGTTTAAAAACCTTATAAATAAAAATTTAAATGTTAAATAAAATTTAATGTCAACATACAAATTACCAATTCATGGCATCCCTAAATAAATTTTTAATAAAGGAAACAAACGCATACTTTAAGAGTTAATTTAAAATTTAAATATCAACTTTAATTGCATATTGTAAGAAAACAGTCAATGATATTAAAAAATTGTTTTAAAGAAAATTTAACAATCTTTAATCTAATTTAAACGTTTTGCCAATGTATATAAGAAATCGAAAGTTTTAAGTGCATAATTAAAATAGGGCACAATATTCTTAATAAAAATCAAATTAAAAAAAACTAACCGTGGGATTCATTAATTTTGCTCTTAAATTCTTAGTTACATCATAAATAAATAGAATTTCACAAAAAAAGTTTCTCAGAAAGTCTGAAAATCACTTCTCAGAACAGCACCATGGTACTAAATTTTCTTGTATTTTTAGAGTCGAAAAAATAGATCTCCAGCTATGGTATTCCACTGTTAGTTGTTGTTAGTATATCTAATACGAGAATACCATAATACCTACTTTTTGCATTCCAAAATAATTAAAATTCAGTACATAAAAAGTATCACATGGCTTTTATATGAAAGAAAGAAAGAAAGAAAATACGTTTATTTTGAAAAATCCAGAGAGTGCACGTTAACACTCTATACGGATTCATCCTCTCACAACAATACAACAAAAATATACAAACAATAAAAAATAAAAATATAAAAGTAGTAGTAGTAGATATTCATTTCACATTTCGTCATGTTTTAAAAGCTTAAGCTAGTTTCTATACTATAGATAGGTACATTACATGTTTGATAATGCAAGGACGGAAAAGAGAATAAAAATAAAATAAAATGACAATACCCGTTGAAACACCCTAGCTTGGAAGTCTAACCCGAGGCGTCCCCCAAAGCCCGAACAACAACCATCAGTGCGGTCTGAGCATAGACCACACTGGTGACCATTACAGCTCAGACTCCAAAAGATATCTCAAGTCAGACTCCAGAAAACATCTCAAACCAGACGTAAAACCCCTAATGTGTTTGTTTCTGATTTCAATAGGCAACGCATTGTAAATTTTGACACCATTATGATATATGCAACCTTTACCTCTCATTGATAAAACCCTTTCTAGGTTTACATCAGACTTATGACGTGTGTTATGGTCATGGTAGTCGTTGCGAAATTTTAATGAAATATTGGAATGGCGAGTATTAAGATTAACTTGGTGTATATAAACAGATACCTGGTATTTATAGATATACATACATTTTAAAAATAAATATGCAATGAACTGTAAATATTTTGAAAATATTTCCAGATATTTGAAGAAACATTAATAAAATATAAGGTAATGTATCTAAAAAAAATACAAAAATGCTGTGAAAAAATATTGTACAAATATAAAAAGTGGGACATGTAAATGTTGTAAAAACTTTTTAGAGGCATTTAAATGATAATGACTAATATTTCTAAAAATATTTAGGTTATTTAACAAAAATATTCATTCAATATTCTAAATATATTGTTGTGTTACTAGTTAAATAATGAAAATATTGTTTTACTAGTGGAATAATGAAAAATGTTAGTAAAACTTGCAAAATATATTTATGGTTACATACACGTGTTTTGGTGCAATATTGTAAAAATGGATTGCAGTTAGTTAATGAAATCCCATGAAGAACTGATGAAAACGTGGAAAAATTGAAAACAATGAATCATTACTCATCAAATGCTCTCAATTCGAAAAAAAAGACAGATTTTGTGGCGAAAGATTTACCGCTTTTGCCTCACAAAACTTCCTACTCACACTTTTTCGTAACTTTTTTATTGAAAAAAAAACACCGTACAGCCGTAAAAGCCTCCATATTCATCAGACATTGCCCTTTGAGACTATTGTTCCCAAAAATAAAGAAGACCATAAGTAAGATTAAATGCGCATCTCTGACCTTAAAGCTTTCCTAAAGATTGAATACTGGAAGTATTTTGAGGATTAAAAGAATTTTTACTAGATATTACACAGTGAGGATAACATTTATGTAGACAAATAGATTCCCAAAACACCTGTAACATTTTGAACACAGCTCATACTTTCCCGGTTTCATTCTAAAAAGCAATTTACCTTTTCCAAGGGTCCTACACAATTTCAAATAGTTGGGAAGTTCGGTCGGCTCAATCAACAAAACGGTAATGCCCTCTTTAGACGCTCTAGCTGTTCTGCCAGATCTATGCACGTAACTCTCACTCGTTCTCGGAGTTTGATAGTGCAAAACGTGCTCAACACTCGGTATATCCAACCCTCTTGCGGCCACATCGGTGGCTATAAGAATACCGAGCTCGTCTTCCGTGAATCTTTCGAGATTTTTAAGCCTCTGCCTTTGCTGCATTGAAGCGTGCAGTGGCAGGGGGTGACAATCCAGTAAAGTTAAAAGGGTGTTCAGTCTCTTAACGCAACCGATGGAATTGCAGAATATTAAAGTTCTGCCTGGGTGTTTTTGTAGGAAATAGTACACATAGAAATCTTTGTCTGTTATTTTACATGTTATTCTGCACTCTGTAAGGGTTGAAGACGTTCCTGTAAACATTACAAGATTAATTATAACAATGTAAATATTACTTTTTTGATTAATTATACCTGTCCCTTGGGTTATATCAACGATTTTCGGATCTTTGATTCCCAGCGAGTTGACAATTTTGAGTAGTTTTTGCTCTGGCGTCATGTCCTTGAGGTTTCTGCGGCCTTTTATTTTTTGTTTGTTGATTAAATGTCTTGGTATGTCGTGAATTAACGTTAAAGTGGCGGAAAATACGAAGCTTTGTCGTTTTTTCAAGATTTCTTCGTCGACATTTATTTTTTCTATTAAACTGTGTAGTTCTTGAAAGTGACCCCTTTCAAGCATTCTATCCGTTTCATCAATTGCTAAAAATCTAAACAAAAGCATGTGATTTTATGTATACACATTAGGGTGTCCCAAAAAAAAAGAATATTTTTTTTCTTCTCGTCTCTTGTGAAAATATGTTGGTTTGTCATGTTTTAAGAGCCCTGTCAAAAGATCAGCACCATTAAAAAATTTTTAGGGGTCGCTCAAGATTTTTAAAAATTACCAAAATCGTCAAAAATTGGATTTTTTTTATTTTAATTTTTTTGCTCTTTCCGATATTATTTTTTAATTTAAAAATAATAATGATTCTGAAAATTTCAAATCGATATTTTAATTTCTAAAGGTCGCTCAAGATTTTTTTAACTTTCAAAGTAGAGTATTTTGAATGTTTTCGAGCGACCTCTGAATATAAATATCAACGAACTTTTAGCGACCTTTATAAATCAAAATATTGATTTGAAATTTACACAATTTTTATTATTTTCAACCTAAAAAATAATATCGAGACGAGAAAAAGAATTAAAATAAAACAAAAATTCAATTTTTGACCATTTTGAAAATTTTTAAAAATCTTGAGCGACCCCTACAAAATTTTTTAATCGAGCTGATATTTTGAAAGGGCTCTCACAGCATGATAAACTAACATATTTTTACAAGAGACAAGAAAAAAAAATATATTCTTTTTTTTTGGGACACCCTAATACACATCCATAACAAATAAAATTTAACAAATTTTTCTTATAATTCATATTTTAGTATTTTTTCAAAACATTTTAACTTTAATAAATTAAACATATCAGGATTAATTCTGCACCATTTGGAAAAAAGTAGATGATCAAAAATCAGTTTTTTAGCAGCGTTTTTATCTTCAGTGTAAAACTAGTCTTTAATAATATTTTTTTACAGTTCCTACAGTTTTATTCTATAACCGTTAAGAATAAACATTAACTATTAATATTTTGATTTAATAACTTTAACAAAATGTCCAAAACACAAATATTGTTTTTTCAGTGTTTTTCATCTCATTTTGGTAAAAATAAAAAGTTTGAACTTTAATTAATTAAACATATTAGGATTAATTCTGCACCATTTGGAAAAAACTAGATAGTCAAAAATCAGTTTTTTAGCAGCGTTTTTATCTTCAGAGTAAAACTAGTTTTTATAATAAATGTTTTTTCTACAGTTAAGAATCAACGCTTTAACTATTAAATTAATAGTTAGAGTTGATTCTTAACTGTAGAAATTAATAATATTTTTATTTAATAACTTTAACAAAATGTCCAAGACACAAATATTGTTTTCCTATCTCATTTTGGCAAAAATCAACTTAACTAGTTTTTCCAAAACGGTGCCTGATGATTGAGGGGAACTTCAAAATTAAATATAAAGTGGAAAAATATAAATAAATATTAGTTATATTTATTCTAATTAATTTTATAAAATAAAGAAATAAAGGATTTTCAAAAATTCCCAATTGTAGTTATAATATTAACAATGACAATGGTTTATAAAAATAAAAATATTCATATTACCAATTTTAAATTTTAGAATAAAAACCAACAGAACCTACATTTAAAAAAATAAGCTAATAAAAATCAAAGAGAAGTTAAAACAAAAAAGAAATGAAGAATTAAGTAAAGTGAATTTCTCTTAAAATTTCAAGACGAATTTTCCTTTATCATTTTTTAAATTGTCAAAATTGCAGGAGTTAAATAATTGTTAAGGCCGACTGCGACAATACGCGCCAAATATGTTGTTTTTAAAACACAAGAAATATATAAAATAATAAGATTCAATAACTCCTGTAATTTTACAAATTTAAAAAAATGGTGAAGGAAAATTTGTCTTGGAACTTAGAGGAATTTACATTTACATTTACCCTTTGGGTCTTCAATTTTGAGACACACAGTACCTATATAATACAAAATAAGATTTATTAACACTTATTAAATTATAGCATTTTTCCTAAAAAAAAAAACATTTTGACTAACCTTATTTTATCAACCTGTGATAAATGTTGATTTCCCTGTTGAATTAACTCCCACAACCTTCCAGGAGTAGCAACTACAATTTCAGGAAATTTCCCCAACAATCTTTCCTGTTTTACTGCAGCCATTCCTCCGACAACCACTGCAATATTAATTCCTGTATATTTTGCCACCTTTGTTAAATGACTTTTAATCTGCATTGCCAACTCTCTTGTGGGTGTCAATATCAAAGCATACAAAGGTTTTTGTGGATGTTTTTCTTTGATTTTATATGCATTAACACAGCCATGGCCATTTTCATCCAAATCTTCTAATTCTTCTTCAGAATCATCTGAATTTTCTTCAATGTTATCACCATCCTTCTCTTTAATCTTTAAAATACCTGTCAATATAGGTAAACCAAATGCAAGTGTTTTACCACTGCCAGTTTCAGCAGCCCCCAATATATTTTTTCTTCCTAATATAGCTGATGGCAAGGTTAAAGACTGAATTTGTGTCGGTTCTTTAAATTTTAATTCGGCTAGTGCTTTCAAAATGCTTTCAGGTAAATCAAAATTCAGCCATGCTGATGTGTCAAATTCCTCCACATCTTCTAAACTTGTAACTTCAGAAATAGATGTATCGCCACTTTTTGATGGTGAAAGTAAATTAGGCTCTGATTTAACAATAATTTCTTTTACTTTTTTATTTGCCTTATTAGGTTGCTTAGTATCATCCTTCTTTCGCTTCTTTTTTACCTACAAAAATCACAACGTTAAAACAGAGGAACAATATTGAGGTAAATAAAAACCCAACATTTTTAGTTTCAACAAGGTCTCCCAAGTCATAATCAGTGCATTCTTCTATTCCAATTAATCCTTCAAAACCGCTACTAAACACATTACCATCTATTTCAACAGGTTTCCAATTTTTCATCTTGTTTACCATTTTCACTCTTCTTTTTAAATTTCTAACCTCAAAGTGTCAAACGTGCCATGTGTTGTAAAATGTGTTGCCGATGTTTGGGCGTAGTAGTTCAAATGTATTTAGTATACAGGGTGATACTAGTTGTATTTTATTAATGTAATGTATTAATTAATGTTAAGTGAATAAAAAGCTAATATTTCTAAGATAATTAGTTGATAAGTAAATGAACAAGTATTTTGGGATTTTCATGGACATATTAACATGTCTATGGGAATTTTAGTATCCCGGCGCATTCGCCATTTTTTACAATGTTAATAGATTTTTGCTTTATGCCCAAGTCCATAGATAACAAAGCCCAAGTCCCACATTGATCTATTTGTTTAAAGCTAATTTCATCAAATTTTCTAAAAATAATAAAATTAAAGTATTTTTTGTATTATTAATATTATTTTTTGTATTAATGATATTTATACACAAAAATTACATATATTGTATTATTTTAAGAATTTAAGACGAAATTAGCGTTAAACTGACTGATGATAACCTCAATTATTTGCATTTAAATGTCAATGTTGCTTCAATCCACGTGATTTGGTTATTTTTTTACTTTATTACTATTTTAGTTAACTAATAATAATAAATAAATAAATAATAATTATTATTATTATTTTTAAACAAAAAAGCCAATAATTTAAAAAAATTAAATTAATTTTTATTATGGTATATATGTTAGTTAAATTGACGGGATAATGTAAAATTTAAAATAGAATGATTTAGAATTTATATTTAGACAAGGGTTTTCTTCCTCTATTATAGTCTATAAATGTATTATGCATCAAGCGTAAAACTTAATAGGCCATAATCATATTATTTACTCGGAAGCAAGGGGAGGTGTAATCATTGATAATTCAAATTTTATCTGTCAGAAATTACGGGTCAATTTATATCTACTTTCGGTTAATATAATATAAATAAATTATTTAATTATATATTAGACTTTAAACAATGTGGAAGAACGTCGTTATTGTGTTTATTATTTTTTTCACACACTCCTGTGAGTACAAATTGTCATTTGGGATTTATCATAAAATTTAATTTTTTAGTTTGTGCAAAGGTTGACTTTCCAGGCAGAGCTGTTTTAGATAATTTTCCTCTAATAGACGGGTTTGTTTGAATAAAAACTTGAATAATTTATTTGTGATTTAAACTATTTTTAGGCACAATGATTTGCCATGGAATATTTTTTTAAATGCAAAAAACCATCTAGAAAAATGTAAAATAGAGGCAGATTTAACAAAAGATGAATTATTTGGAAGTAAAAATTGTGTATCTTGTGTCACAGATTTGCCTAGGCTTAAAAAGGGAAAACTTGGTGCTCAAGTAAGTAATAATAATTAAAGAATAAATCCTTTAGATATAATAAATATTAAATTACATTACATATTTTTTTTAAATACTTATATTTGCCTTTAGGTAGGTACAGTGGCAATCATTTGAAAGTGCACGATTTTTTTCGCTAATGTAATACGGTCTTTTATGTGTCATAATATGACATATTATGACAATTAATAATTATAATAAATTAATTTAATTAGTATTACTTATCTACTTTTATATGTATATTAGGGTGATTCAAAAAATACTTTTTTTTATTTTTTTTCTCGGAATCACGCTCAAAAGTTTCTTTTAGGTTTAAAAATAAGCCTGTGAAGAGATGAACTCTTAATTTCAAAATTAAGACGCCCTTTTCGTTTTTCCATAAGAATAACATAGGAAAAATTATTTTTGTTTCTTCTGATTTTTGTAACTAACGAACTAGAGGTCGTACTGTAAATTTCTTAACAATTTTTTGTAGAGAATTGAACGCTCTACAAAAAAGGTCGAGAGTCATTGTTTGGTAAGTTAACTTGGTCAAAAAGTTATTCAAGGTTAAAGTGAAATTAACCGTCAATTTAGCCGTTTTCCTCAAAAAAAAAACTCCTAGATTTTTTAGTTCAAAGGGTTAAAAATGAATCAAAGTATTGTTTTTGACCTCTGGAACTTCGAAAAAACATAACTATCGATATTACTCTCGAAGAGATCCAAAAGTTTATGAATAACCCTGCAAGCTATTTATGGAACTTTCTGCTACTTTTAACCTTGAATAACTTTTAACCAAGTTAACTTACCGAAAAATGACTCTCGACCTTTATAAAATATTTTTTTAATAAGTCGGGTAGATTCGCCAAAAAAGTTAAAGAACACAAAAATTTCGTATAATTTGAACTTTGACCTTAAATTACTTTTGAAGGATTAAATTAATCAAAAAATCATAAGAAACCTTTTTTGTAGAGCGTTAAATTCTTTACAAAAATATGTCCAGAACTTTACAGTACGAAAGAACGATACGTTAGTTACAAAAATCAGAAGAAACAAAAATAGTTTTTCCCATGTTATTGTTATGGAATTAATTGAAATTAAGAGTTCATCTTTTCACAGGCTTATTTTTATACCTAAACGAAACTTTTCAGCGTGGTTCCGAAAAAAAAATAAAGAAAAGTTTTTTTTGAATCACCCTAATATACATGTATACAGGGTGTTTCTTTTAACTTGAGACAGCTCAATATCTCGAGAAATACGCATTTCACGGAAAAATGTCTTAAATAAAAGGTTAATGTGACTAAAGGGGACATTATTTGGTGCTACCGCTAGCCACCCCCTACCCCTCCTTAAGGGTGAAACGGGGGGTAACTTTGGAAAGTCAAATGGAATGACCCGATTTTTTTCACAGAGTTTGGTAGTACATAAAAAAAATAAATAACTTTTATTTAAAACTTTTTTCAATTTATCAACAGATGGCGCTGTAATTCAAAATTTAAGAAAAATGAGTTTCCTTGTAAAATGTATTATTTGAAACGTTTGAAAAACAAAAATTAACATTAACAACAATAGTCGGCTATGAAAACAATTTATAACAAATGTTCGAAATGTCGTCATTCCATTTCAACACATTTTTGAATGCGGGTAATGAATTCTGGCACACAACGCGCCAACATGTCGGGCGGTATCGCCGCACAGGCGTTCCTGATCCGCTTCTCCATGTCCTCCCAAGTTGTAGGAATTGCAGCGTAAACTTTTTCTTTCAAGTAACCCCACTGGAAGAAGTCTGGTGGCGTAAGATCAGGTAATCGAGCAGGCCAAATTACTGGACCACGTCTACCAAACCACCGCGGTGCACCGGCCATTGAACTCCCGATCCAACACCTCTCGAGCAATTGTCGAATAATGTGCAGGACAACCATCTTGCTGGTACCACATGTTTTGGAGCCGTGCTAGTGGTACATCCTCCAAAAGGTCCGTCAGATCGTTTTCTAGAAAATTCCGGTACTTTTCGCCATTTAATGCACCGTCAATAAAGAAGGGTCCGATTAATCGTTCGCTTAAGGTACCGCACCAAACGTTTACCGACCAGGGACGCTGGTGCTCCACTTGGTGTCGAAATGGAAGGACGACATTTAGAACATTTGTTATAAATTGTTTTCAGAGCCGACTATTGTTGATTTAATGTTAATTTTTGTTTTTCAAACGTTTCAAATAATACCCCTTTTTCTTAAATTTTGAATTACAGCGCCATCTGTTGATAAATTGAAAAAAGTTTTAAATAAAAGTTATTTATTTTTTTATTTACTACCAAACTCTGTGAAAAAAATCGGGTAATTCCATTTGGCTTTCCAAAGTTACCCCCCGTTTCACCCTTAAGGAGGGGTAGGGGGGTGGCTAGCGGTAGCACCAAATAATGTCCCCTTTGGTCACATTAACCTTTTATTTAAGACATTTTTCCGTGAAATGCGTATTTCTCGAGATATTGAGCTGTCTCAAGTTAAAAGAAACACCCTGTAATACATTGTATATATTATATAGTTTTTTGATTTGAAAACATCGTAAACATAAACATTAAAAATTACTCATGAGACACCTATCAACAATATGCGAAATATTTTTTTAACCACCTGAGAGTCACGATGACACTTCACGTTAACCTTAAATTTTAAAGTCCGTATCACACAATTCAATTTTACGCAAATTCGGCACAAGAGTCGTGCACTTTCAAATGATTGGCACTACATAGATAACATGTAAAAATTACTACTTCCAAAAATATATGGAATAAACTTTTGTTTACTATAACATGTTAATGAATTACTTTTATAATTAATTTTTTATTTATGTTTGGTCTTTTTAATTAAATTAATATTGAAGTATTTACAGGTTGCCCCAAAAATGACACATTAAATAAATTACATTTTTAATTTTTTTACTTACCAATAAACCTTTTTCAATTATAATAAAGTTGCAAAGTTTTATTTAGACATATTGGATGGGGCCCAAATTTTCTCAGAAATCTTTGTGCTATAAAAAAAATTGTTTGGAAATATACAGGGGGCAAACCCGAATAGATTCTTACTATTTTTATAAAACTTTTTCATAGTTTTTAAAGTATTAATGATATTTTTAATTATGGCATTTTTTGTTTTAAATCCTAGTTTTGGGCTGCATATGTCGATTGTACCAAATCAAAAGATCCTGTCTTGGATACATTGGAGCAAATTGATGTTATTAAAAGAATGGTTCGAAAATATCCAAATGATTTAAAATTTACCACAACCGCTGATGGTAGTATTTATTAATTTATTAGAGTTAAAATAAAATTAATTAAGAACAACTTTTTTAGGTATTCTGGAAGCATTTAAGGAAAAGAAAATAGCCAGCTTGATTGGAGTAGAAGGTGGCCACTCAATAGACAATCATTTGTCTGTTTTAAGGGCTTTCTATGATCTTGGAGTGAGATATCTAACTTTAACACACACTTGCAATTTAGATTGGTAATTATTTATTTTGCATATACCTTGTTTAACTAATACTATCATTTTTAGGGCTGATTCATCATTAGTTGACGACCCCAAAAGCACTCACAAAAAAGGAAACCTAAACGATTTTGGAAAGGTATTTTTTGGAAGTATTTAAAGAATTAAACATTTTTATTTTTTTTATAGAAAATAGTCTTAGAAATGAACAGACTGGGTATGCTGGTAGACTTATCTCACGTTTCAAAAAATATTATGTGGGATGTTTTGAATGTAACTAGATCTCCGATTATCTTTTCTCATTCTTCTGCGAAAGCGATATATTCGCATTCCAGAAATGTTGATGATGATGTTTTATTAAAAGTTGTAAGTATTAGTATAAATAGGGGATTGTTGTAAAAGAAATTTCGGATAAAAAATCGCCGCAACAACCGAAAACTGTCGGAAACCTGTCGACCATTTCACTTTTCAACTATAATATGAGTTATTCCAAATAAAAACACCAAATGGGGTGCCCTGCTTGATTTTTTATTTTGATAAAAAAAATTGAGGATGATCTTTTAGGTATCAAATATGAGAATCCGTTGCCGTTTTAATTTTTGGATTCTTTATTTTTAATCGCACCCTTTAGAAATCTGAAATCGTCCCAATTTCTTACTCTCTTATAGTGGGCCAGAACTTTTTTTGTGACAAATATTGAAATGATTTTAATTTTGTTTTACTGTTCAGTGAGTGTGTTTTCGATATAAATTATTATTATCCAATTAGTTAATCTCATAAAAGAATGGTAAACCACTAAAGATTCATGATAATTTGCCAATTTTTGTAATTTTTGTCTGGCTCTAGAAAGTTATTTTTTTTCAGGTATTCATTAAAAAAGCGTACAAGAATAGAGTAATTGCATCAAAAATGAAAATCCCTAAAAACCTTTTTATTGTAATCTAGAGGTAAAAACACATTGCGAAAATATTTTTTTATATTCCAAAAGTTCAACCCGGCCCCAAAATATCAAATTGAAAAAAAGGTACTTTTCAAACGTTCCGAACTCCCGCCATATTGCATGACGTCATAAGCTTCACCAGCTGTCAGAAATCAAGATGTCAACAAATAATAAACACCGATAAAGTTTATGTTTAACATGGAAAACGCGAAACCAAAAATTGGTTGTAAATATTGTTTTGTGCCTTGTACAAATACAACCTGGAAAACTCCTGGGAAAAGGTTTATCACCGTGCCAAAAGGGAAAATAAGGATAAAGTGGATTAAAATAGCTCGGCGCGATATCAAAACATCGTCACCATTTTATTGCTCATTTTAAGGATCATTTTAATGTAAGTAAAATAAAATGTCGTTTACTAGGTACTATCGCTAACAAAAAAAACTCATACAGCTATATTGTGGCTGTGTGAATAAAACTTTTCCGTCAATGTCAAGCTGACATCGAGCTTTGTCACATCCATTATGACTTTTTTAACATTTCTAACCAAACAATGCAGACGAACTCTGGCAAGCCATTGAAGCCATTTGGAACGAGATAAAGCAAGACGGCGACTTCCATGCTTTGCCGTTTGCGGGCAGTAATTGACAAAACAGAGGGATGACGAAATATTATTTTTTTTTCAAACTTTAACCTAACTTTGTATTTAATTTTAGACCTTTCAAATGTGACGTATCATGTTAAAAGCCATAATTACTCCAACGAAATGATAGAAAATCAGGAACACTAGATTTTTAAGCTGTATGAGTTTTTTTTGTTAGCGATAGTATATGGTTTGAATAGGTATGTTAAATATTAATAAATTCAAGAAAATACGGCTGAGCCGTAACTACTCTCAGTGTAGGGTCATAAACTTTGCTTTTGATAATTGAAGGGACAACTTTCCCAGGAGTTTTCCAGGTTGTATTTGTACAACAAGGCACAAAACAATATTTACAACCAATTTTTGGTTTCGCGTTTTCCATGTTAAACATAAACTTTATCGGTGTTTATTATTTGTTGACATCTTGATTTCTGACAGCTGGTGAAGCTTATGACGTCATGCAATATGGCGGGAGTTCGGAACGTTTGAAAAGTACCTTTTTTTCAATTTGATATTTTGGGGCCGGGTTGAACTTTTGGAATATAAAAAAATATTTTTGCAATGTGTTTTTACCTCTAGATTACATTAAAAAGGTTTTTAGGGATTTTCATTTTTGATGCAATTACTCTATTAGAATGAGAGAAAACTGTCAACATTATTGCGTAAAACCGGCTTTCCACTGACTTAAGTCACTATAACTGACAGTAGAAAATAAAAATGCCTCGTCAGTTAAAAAGGCTCAAATAATATCAAGAATCGAAGAAGAATGGTCAATTCATACTGTGGTATAATAGAAATAAAAAATCTATATTAAAAATTAAGCAACGCTGAAACAGGAAGATTTATTAAAACAAAAAGTTGGTTCAGGTCGTCCCAAAATGTCCACCCCTGCACAGGATGCTGCTTTTTTGGGATATCTGAGGATTTATGGGAAACTATACAACTATACTATACCTAAGTACTATACTGCTGGGAAGATATTAATCCAAATATTTTATTAAATTTAATTCAGTTCATGCCAAATAGATTGGCTCAAGTAATAGAAAAACAGGGATGCATGACTAAATATTAAATTTTTTTTAATGTTTGTTTTTTTTCATTTCTAAAAGGTAATAATTTTTGTAATATTATTTAATTAACCTACGACGTCAATGCTCTTTATAACCTATAGTAATTATTTTAATGACTTATGTCAGTGATAAGCCGGTTTTAAGCAATAATATTATTTTGACAGTTTTCTCTCATTCTAATTCTTGTACGCTTTTTTATTGAATACAACTGTACTTATACAATAGAAAACGTAACTAGACTATCATTTTCTTTATTAAAAAAATTATTGAAACTTGATAATTCTTAAAATTAGTCAATTTTGCCCTTAGAAATCATTATGTTGAGGAAAAAATAAAAATCTGAAACTTTCAGGAAATGTAGTCTCCACCTTTATCTTTTCAGTCCAGTTAGTCTTGTTTTGTTATTTTTATTCCTTTAAAAGATATATTATTTTTTTTTTATAAAATTTAGATGGCTTTTATGTTTGGTGGAGAAGTGTCAAAACTGTCAAAAATATTTCATAAATATTATTTGTGCGTATTTCTTTGGTAAATTTTGTATATAACATAATATGTCATATTATGTTATATACAAAACTTTTTAAAATCACCAAAGGAATACCACAATTAATAATTATGAAACATTCTTGACAGTTCTGATATATTTGGTAGTTATGTTATATTTTATGTATTGTATAATCATATAATAATCAAACTTTGACCTCGAATAACTCTAGAAGAAATCAATTTATCGAAAAATAATAAGAGACCTTTTTTATAGAGCGTTAAATTTTATATAAGAAACTGCAATAATTATTGGCATAAGTTACTTTGATACAGAAGTATAAAATTCCAAACATAAATTTTTTCCCATGTTAATTCAATGGGAAACTAAAATAAAAACAGCGACCTCTTAGAGTTGAGCTGGAACGCCCATATTTGGTGAGGATTTTCTTTATATTAAATAAAAACATGTGAGAGGGTAAGAGCGAAGCACCCTAATATATATATATATATATATATATATAATTTACACAATCTGTAAATACTTCTTTAAATTTTAGTTTTTAGGTAACTGGTTAAAATAAAACATGTTATAATAAAGGGGTTTATTTAAAATATTTTTTGGTTTTTGCTTATTTTTACCAATTTAAAACTTCTCAGAGCTTGAATATATATACAAAATTATATGTTCTTGCATTTTTAATTGCAATTAAATTTATGAATCTCGAACACTCCGTCATTTATTACACTTGCAAACTTGCAAACTTTTTGAAATCACAATTTACAAAATACGCACAAATAATATTTTTGAAATATTTTTGACAGTTCTGACATTTCTCTACCAAACATGAATTGACCAAGTCAAAGCCCTCTAAATTTTTAATTATAAATAAAACTAACAATATCGCTTCTTGACTGCATTAAAAAAATTATTATATCTTTTCTTCTTCTTCTTCTTCCTGTAGCTCCTTCTGGAGCAAAGGGCACCTGTAAAGGTGTTTCTAGGGCTTTCTATGGTCAAAGTGATGGTAGAGTAGCTAATTCTACGCATCGCCATTACATCCTTTCTACCAGTTCCTTCCATGTTTGTCTGTTCTTCGCCATGTTCCTTGCTTCTGTCCATGTTAAACCTTGTTTTTTGAGTTCTTCATTTATTGTACATGGATAAAAATAACAAAACAAGACTAACTAGACTGAAAAGATGAAGGTGGGGACTACATTTCCTGAATGTTTCAGATTTTTATTTTTTCCTCAACATAATGATTTTTGAGGGCAAAATTGGCTAATTTTGAAAATTATCAAGTTTCAATAATTTTTTTAATAAAGAAAATGATAGTCTAGAAACTAAAAATAATAAATACGTTTTCTATTGTGTAAGTACTTGATACCTAAAAAAAAACAACTTTCTAGATTTAGCAGATTAGGCACAGGAGCAGGACAAAAATTGGCAAATTATTACAAATCTTTAGTGGTTTACCATTCTTTTAGCCTCTTATAAGAGAGTAAGAAAATTACACGATTTCAGGTTTCTAAAGGGTGCCGATAAAGCAACTACAAATTAAAACGGCTTTTCATATATGATACCTAAAAGATCATTCTTAAATTTTTTCATTAAAATAAAAAATTATGCAGCGCACTTTTAAATTCATTTTTGGTGTTTTCATTTGGATTGACTCATATACATCGTTTATACTGCAAAATGTCGTATGTCAAAAATTATTAACTTTTTTTAGGTTTTTAATTTCAAACGTATCCATAATAAATTCAATACCTACATTGTTAATTTTTGTGCCCAAAATAAAAATAGTCAAGAAATTTGTATTAAATGTCAAAACTAGTAGATCGGTAAAACTATAGTTAGTAAGGATATATCCTTACTGTTCTTAATATACTATTTCTATAATTTTGACTCCATAGACATTTTGCATTATTAACGACAATATGTGTTTTCCCAGGTATACCTAATAATAATTTATTTCTATTATTTATAAAACACATTTTCTTAGATTATATAATATCTAACATATTTTATTATAATTTTTTAGAAATTAAATGGTGGTATTGTTATGGTAAACTTCTTTAGTCAATTTATTTCCAGAGGAAATGCCACTATTAAAGACGTCACAGGTAATTTATGTTATTTTAAAATACAAATAAATTTTAAAAAACAAATAATAACGATAATAATAATAAAAATAGTACATAATCTAACAGGTGAAGAAATAGCTTATATTATTGCCGAGCCCCAGACCAATGGTTTGGACTAGCCGAGGCTGCGTATCTGAGCTAAGTACACGGACAAAGTAAACAGTAACAATTGATGCGCAGAACATTAATTTACTTATTTTCAATTTAAAATAATAATTACTTTGCAGAATATACGCTAAAGAAGCATCGCTAGTAGCGCCACCACGTGGCCGTTATCATCGTTACAAAACTACAACTTTTAATAATAACACTAGTAAACAATAAAAAAAGGTCGGTAATAAAAATAGCTCAATCCTATAGATTTTGACCTGCTTGACGCAAATCCGGCGACCAAAAAATTTTCCAAAGTCTTGTTTAGACGATACGGGCAGGACCATGATACAAAGAAAAATTGTTAAATAATAACGATAAAAATAAGTAAATAAAAAAGGTCGGTTATAAAAATAGCACAGTCCTATAGATTTTCACCTGCTCGACGCAAATCCGGCGACCAAACAATTTTCCAAAGTCTCGTTTAGACGATACAAAGAAAAATTGTTAAATAATAACGATAAAAATAAGTAAACAAAATAATTCGAACGATAAAAAACAGTTAACATAAAAAAAACATGCCTTAAATTTTTACAATATGTACAGATATGTTGTTCATGGAATGCTGAAATATAAGTTAAAAGTAACGTAATCCTTAAATTTTCAAATGGTGTATCTATGCAATAAATGGTACCAAAATACTGTGCTCCTATTTTTTATTTCCGACTTCAGAAAATTTTTTTAAAAACATTTTGGATCTATTTTAGTCCTAAACAATCGAAAAATTATATTTTTAACCAGGACCTTTTTTTTAAGTTAAAATTTGTTGCCTAGTGTAACCTGTCAAATGTCAAACGAGTTTTTAAGAATAAGGCGGGAAAATGTTAAAAATATCTAAAAAACTTGGAACGATTTGTTGTGTTCTTGGGTGTTTATTGAGAGAAAATCTTGGGTTGAGTTTTTACGGGTTTCCCAATAAACAGTGGAAATCCTAATGAAGAAATAATTTGCATACAGTCCCTGTAAATATAAATTTTACCTATTAGATACAATAAATATATATTTAAGTAATGATTTACGTGAAAATTGTAAACATTTTAATTCAGTAAAAATCATAAAACAAATAAATCCTCTAAATTCAAACAGCGTTATTAATAAAAGCGTTTATTGAGAAAGACTCAACGGTAAAAAAACAAAAACGGGTAGTATATCATGTATTATATATAATATTATGTTGCCATAAATTCGTAGATGTATTTGGTCGTTTACTATTTTAAAATGCAGTTGTCGGCGTTTTTTAGAGAACTCAAATATAAAAATGTTTGATTTTAAGGTTTTCTTTGTACAACTATTTTTTTTTAAATTTCTTAAAAATTTCCAAACTCAAATTATATTAGGGAAAGTCATCATTAGTTAATTCTGCACCAACAAATATATATACTGCACCAACATATATATATATATACTGCACCAACAAATACGTATACGTACCGGATTGGATCCTTTAGCAAACCATGAAAATCCAACGATTTTGTTTTTGAATTACATTTACAAATAAAAACACAATAAATAATTCACTGACCATTTAGATAAAATACACACACTAACGTAACTATGTATTTAAGCATATAAGCGTTTAGTTTCTTCAATGATATAAAGAATAATAAATCGAAATCAACCAAAGTTTTGCAGTTTTACTTGCAACGCAAAACACAAATAAGGTGCGCGATTTAGCTGTGCAATTGAAACTTTGCGAACAAAATTTGTCGAGTAAGTCTTCTGCCTTCCTCTTTTTTGTACAAAAACTACTAATTTATTTAAAAATGATGCGCAGTAGTATGCTTTAGTAGTGTTGACAATTCTTGAATTCACACAATGCTATCGAGCGCCTTCAGATGGCGCGCCTTTTGCGAAAACCCGATATTTCTTTAGCGTATTGTGTTCTGTGTTTAGCGTAATGATCACTACAGTTCCTGACACTACTCATTGATGTCACAAAACTAACTATTGCTGTTGTTAAAGTAACCCGTGATGTTTTATTAGAAATTGTATGATTTTAAAAGGTACTCTGACACTGACATTATATATAGTAAGTTAATTAGTGTTAACACTTAAGTGTTCAATGCTTATTGTTTTCTTTTCTCCGTGTAGGTATACCTATATATCTATAGATCAGTATATAATTTTTTTAATTGACTTTTGAATTTATTCTTGAGTTTACGACATTTTGTGGTAATTTCAATATATTTACATTATTGTACGGCGGTGTAAAATAATTTGACTTTTGAACTGCGTACAAATATGAAGTCCTTTAATATAGGATTTTTAGTGTTTTAAGCCGGATTCTTTACTTTGATTGGCTTTTACCTTCCGGAATTTGGCCAGCTTAAACTTTTTTCTATAACTGCATGGGGAGGGCGAGTCTAGGAGTTCCTATAGCCGCTCCCTTCTTTTTCAATATTTTTTTTTATCACTGTCACTTTTTTATACTTTTTATCTGTTTTCGTCCAATTCATAAACATTGTTACAATTCACTTAAAATTCATACGTACACTTCTTCATTTCGTCTCCCATTCAATTACAGATAATAAATAATATAATACATTTTTGGTCTTGACTCCATTTTACCCATCCATCGTAAAAATCCTTCAAAAATTACTTAATCTATTGTAGATTTTGTATATTTGACAAAAACCAGCGTATTTTTGTGATGGGATTCCGATTTTGTCCCTCCAGGGTCGCAAACGACCAGTTGTCTCCAAGAACAAAACCTGTAAAAATTGTATCCCTAAAAAAATAATATTTTGTTTTAGATCACATAAATCACATAGCTGATATAGCTGGAATAGATCATGTTGGTATAGGTTCTGATTTTGATGGCGTTCCGAGGTAATTTGTAACATTAATAAAATAGTTTATTTATTTTAAAACATTACCACATATTTAAATTATAAATAAGCCAAATTAAAAATGATAACGATACAATATAACTTTAATTTCATTTTTGTAGTTACCCAAAAGGTTTGGAGGATACCTCAAAATATCCAGATTTATTTGATTTGCTAAGAGAACAAAACAAAACTAAATGGACTGTTGAAAATTTGGAGAAACTGGCTGGAAGGAATTTTATAAGGGTGTTTAAAACCAATGAAAAAGTAAATATATTTAACTACACCAATAAAAATATAATATTTTGTACATTTTCAATTTTAGATAAGGGATGATTTGACAAAGGAAGAACCCGTCGAGAATCCATAAATCCATGATTAAATCAAAATATATATGTCTCCATTTTGTAAATATCAAATACATTTTATCAATTTAAATGCAAAATTTAATTTACTATGTAAAATATTGACTTTTCTGAATGTTCTAATAAAAACACAAAATCCACAAAATTTGTAAACAAAACCAGACTATATTTTTTATTACATCAGGTTTTCGCAAATCACTCAGTTTTTTCAGATATTTCTGTTTTTTTTTTGAAGAAATAACACTTCTCAAAAATATTTAATAAAAGGATCTTGACCTAATAAAAATTAATTCAAAGAAAGCATAAATAAGCAAATTAACTCAAATTGTTATTAAAGTACGTATTTTGTGTAGGTCTGAACAGTTGCAGTAGTCACTGACTTTTTTAATGAGTCATCTAGTATTTGCAAGCTTAAGATTTTTTTTAATTTTTTGTCTATTTGGTAACGCTTCTTTCTTTTAAAATATAATAAAAACCCTTTGAATAAAAAACCTTTTTTTATTCAAAGTAAAAACCACACTGTTTTTAGTTTTACGATTTTATTTTAACTTAAGTTAAAGGGTACAATTGTACTTAAGTGCATTTTAGCATGAAAATAAGTGTCTCATATCGTGAAAATTGTACCTAAGTGTTCTACCTGTTGATTAATGAAAACATTAAAACAAGTATCCAGATTTTCGTACAGTTAATTTTTTTTGTTAGGTTGGTGGCTTATGCCAGTTTGACTTAGTATTTAATATTTATTATTGACTATTTCCCTCATTATAATATGAACCAATCAAAAGCCTTGAATTTTCGAATAAATTTCGTTTAAATAAGCGATTAAATCACTAGACCTATTTAACAGCGATTAAATTTTAGCCTCCATATTGGATTTTTGTTTACGATTTTATGGTGTTATTTACAAGTTTTAACAAACATTTTTTAAAAAACAATAAAAAATAAGTTATCTAGTTTACGAAATATCAATTATTACTTATTACATACCTTAAATTAATGGAATTTTCTTTAAAAAAATATTTATAAATTTTGACACATACGTCAGATTTTATGAATTGTTAAATAGTTTCCTTTAATTCGAGAAATAATCTAGACGTATATCACTCAACCTATAAATTTAATCTGTCAAACTATGCTCAGTAAGTTTTTTATTTGATTTTTCTTTTTGGAAAATAGTTTCATGCAAAATAATTAAATATAAAACCCCTCGACCGCTACGCGGTCTCGTGATTTTATTAAATTATTTTGCATTCAACATTTTTCAACAAAAACCAAACAAAAAACTACTGAGCCTAGTTTAAGCGATTCAATTCATAGTTCTCGTGATATAATAAATGATTATTTCCCTCATTATAATATGAACCAATCAAAAGCCTTGAATTTTCGAATAAATTTCGTTTAAATAAGCGATTAAATCACTAGAACTATTTAACAGCAATTAAATTTTAGCCTCCATATTGGATTTTTGTTTACGATTTTATAGTGTTATTTACAAGTTTTAACAAACATTTTTTAAAAAACAATAAAAAATAAGTTATCTAGTTTACGAAATATCAATTATTACTTATTACATACCTTAAATTAATGGAATTTTCTTTAAAAAAATATTTATAAATTTTGACACATACGTCAGATTTTATGAATTGTCAAATTGTTTCCTTTAATTCGAGAAATAATTTAGACGTAATACTATATCACTCAACCTATAAATTTAATCTGTCAAACTATGCTCAGTAAGTTTTTTATATGATTTTTCTTTTTGGAAAATAGTTTCATGCAAAATAATTAAAAATAAAACCCCTCGACCGCTACGCGGTCTCGTGATTTTATTAAATTATTTTGCATTCAACATTTTCCAAAACCAAACAAAAAACTACTGAGCCTAGTTTAACCGATTAAATTCATAGTTCTCGTGATAAAAAGATAATTATGCCAAAAATAATAGCAACGACCTCGAATGTAAAAGCCTTTTTGAGGACAAAACTTCATTTTGATGAAATTATGCCAAATGCCACAATGGAACAAAAAGTACATCGCCTTATGGACATTTTTGGAGTAAAAAAGTAGCGAATTTGGTTTTATAAATATTACATCACACATTATTTTCACATTATTCATCATTGGACAACATTTACGTTCACAACAAATTTTAATTTCTTTTATATAAATTCTTTTTAAAGCGAAGATTATTTTATCTGCTAGGAATACTTTCTCTTCTGGGCCGTAATGCAACCTATATTTAACTACTTTTTTTAAATGATTTTACTCGTCCAAGCACCACCAAAGTCAAATTAATTGCATTTTTAACTACGAATTTTGACAACTCAACTTGACAACTGCACAATGTAACCTACAATAATTTATACAATTAGATTTATAACTAGCTTAGTTTGTTTTAATCAATGCGACCAACTTGGCAACTGTACCTATTTACCAACCAAAACCCTAAATTTGCAACGTTGCCGCAGTCCAGATAGATAAAAAAAATGAACTTTATACCTATAGCAAAATCAATTGTTTCGCTATCACAGTATACTATAGCTTCTTCAAAATAGCAAAAGAATTGTTAAGTTGTAAAATTATAAAACTCTTTTACTGGTTTTTATGAAATTTTCTTTTTAATATGAAATAATACATCCGTTTTTTAAATTTTAGATAAATATAAGTACAATAATGTATTTTCAATGCTAGAACACATCCGGTGAATATTAATTCTACTGTGACTGTCGCGCAATTTGGTGCCTAATTTTAAAACACTGATAATTATAAACAATGTTGCTAAAAGTATCTGCTTTTATCCGACTGAGAGTATGCAGAAATTTAGATAAGAATTTCTACGATTTAATTAAGTAATTAAGAGTCTCAGTTTCCTTTAGTGATTCAACAACAAAATAAGTATTTAACTTAACTCGCGTTTAAGGAAAATCTAGTAGCTGTTAGGCAGGCGACTTGGGCAAAATGAAGACTGTTATTTTAGTGATCTCGTCGGTTATTTTTATTAAGTTTGCAGGTAAATATTTAGTTGTTACTTTAAGTTAAAAAAGTGTTGTTACTAATGAAAGGTTTATTAATTTGATTAGTACAAATTTTTTATTATTGAGAAATTAAAAAGGAAACCTACATATTATACTACAGGTAGGTCTATTAGGCAAAAACTGTAAAAAATAACGCGTTTGAGATTTTTTTACTTTTTTTTAAATAATTTTATTAAGGCAACCATTGATTGACCGTGTCAAAAAATAAAACATAATTTTATTTTTAATAAATATTTTCTTTTTAAAAAATTTCATTTAAATTATTTAATGACATTTCATTCGAATTTAATATAAGTATTGAAGGGGCGAGTGGATAAAGGGGTTAAGTTACATTTTGAACAATAAAGGACAACAAATATTGTTATTGCAATACAGTTTTTTTTATTTACAATTATATTTTTGTTTGAGGGTCCCGTTTTCCATTTAAATTAAAAAAAGAACAAACTATTAACAACTAATAACAATAAATTTGATAGAACAATTACAATATTTTTTGTCTTTTTTGTGCTACTATATATAGTAGCACTATAGGTAGTACCTACATTTAATGTGGTGTCAGTGTAGTAAAAATAAAACTTTGTATTTTAATTAACAAATTACTAAGTAGTTTATTAAAAATTAAAGTATCATTAAAAACTAAAAAACAATAAATACAATAAAAATAATCGAGTTTAAAAACGAATTTTTGAAAGAATTCATGGAAAATAATTATTTAACACTTGTGCAGAAGTGTTATTTCCCACAGAATTTCCATAGATTATTTCAAAAATTCGTTTAAAAAGTCCGAGAAAGAAGGGATCAAAGGATCATGTTATTAGCTTAAAATAATTATTATTATTAAGGTTTATTTTATATTTTTTTATGGAAATCTCATAAATGAGCTCCTGAGATACAAAATACACTGTGGCGTATAAAAACAAATGTTGGTAGCCTCCTTCGGAGGGGACTTATAGTCCTTCGGAGGGGACTTTAAGCCGTCGGTCCGTTCCTACCCCTAACCCGCACAAGCCATTCAGTTGGCTTATGGGACATCTTAGTTTGGATGTAAGGGTGGAACTAAAAGAAAAAAAAAAAAAAAACAACATTATTTTATCCGAAATCGGCAGTAAAGTAGTCAAAAATCGGCAGTAAAGTAGAACTTTACTGCCGATTTAATCGAGTATTGTATGCATCCCATTATACATTTTAAGATGTGTCTACTACTCCTCAGCAGCAACTAAATAATATTTAAAAAAAAAGCACCGTCGCACAGTGATCCCAAGCGCCCAAAAAGCTGGCAAAAAATCAAATCGTAAGTAAAAATGCTTGAACGTCAATACCTTTAGTTTTTTTTGGTCTAGGAATCCGAATCCGGTATCTAAATTTTCAAAAACAAAATGGCCGACACAAAATGGCGGACAAATTTTGACAAAAATTGTGCTATCATGGTGAAAATTTATTTACCTGAGTTTTTTGGGTCAAGGAATCCAAATCCTATTTAAAAATGTCCAAAAACAGAATGAACGTCCCAAAATGGCGGACAAATTTTGACAAAAATTGTGCTATCATGGTAAAAATGGGTTATTGGTGTCAAGAAATTTGTCAAAAATTTTTAAAGCAAAATGACCGTCACAAATTTTCCAAAATTTTTATTTACTTTCTTAAATGAGTGACAAATCTCAAAATTTGTCAATTTGTAAAGAAATAGTTAATTCGTCATCTTGAAGCGGTCGTCATATTGGATTTAGAATGATGCGTCAGAGTGGGGCAAAAAGCCTAAAAGGTTGGCATTAAATGTTCCGTTGTTTATTTAGATACGAATTACATGTAGAAAAATATATTGATATGAATACAGGATATTATACACTTTATACAGATGTAATTGGTTTAATATATTTATTAAATTTCTTGTCAAACTTTTGAAAAAAAGACTAAGACGCGTTATACATCCGAATCATCAGAAGTGGCGTCTTCGTCTTCTTCTAAATTGTCAGCATCTTTTTTAGCAACCATTTGCACATTTGGAGCTTTAAACATATTAATTACTGCCGGCGGAAATTGTTCAATTTTCTTTCTTTTTATTTTACGTTTGTTCGTAATAACAGGATCGCTACTAACCAAAAAATGGTGGAATACGTCTTCGTT